GTGTATAGGTTAGAAATGTGTAACCATAAATAAGTTACCACACCTTGGGGTAGAAGTGGTAATCGGTGCGTATCATTATCATCAGTAAAAAAAAAAAAAAAACGTTGTTTACTGTGTGCTATCAGAGATATATTTTTTTTCTCGTCGAAAATGATGGAAACGAATACAAAGAATCTAACGACCGACGAATTATCCCGGACCGAATTTCAAGAGTTCATGCGTGCGATATTAGAACAGAATTGTTTGCGCGAACAGCAAGTGGACACGATCGTTACGAAACTAATAGAACAAAATATACCACGGACGGAACCGTTGGAACCGACAATGGTTCCGAACTATAAACAAACAGTACCCATGTTTAACGGCGAGTCCGGCGATACTGATCTAGCTACGGAATGGATAAATGCATTAAAAACAGCAGCCATCTTAAATCGATGGTCGGAAATATGTATTTTAGAAGCCGCCCGTTCACACCTTGAAGATCCGGCTAAACATTGGTATTTGAGCCACATGGCTGAACTGAATACGTATGACAAATTTATCTCGTCATTCGAATCAATGTTTATGTGTGCGGAAAATAAGACAGAATCGTAGAAGAAAATGAATGAACGTATACAACAGGAAGATGAAACTGTATACACGTATTTTAACGAAAAGGTGCGGCTTTGTCGACGACTGGGACTGTGCCCGGCGGAGGTAAAGAAAATGGTGTGTATAGGGTTACGTTCGAAACAAATGTGCGCTGCATTGTTAAGTAATAGTCATATTACCGAACCTGAACTGTTGGCAGATATTCTAATGTTTGCGGAAGTTGATCAAAACAGAAGTGAACTATTCCGACCGGTTACGTCACAGGGTCGACGTGTCATAACTATACATAACTATACATCGGAGAAACCCGCGAAAATGATTGCATATGAGCGTAGTCCTAGAACGCGTGCGATGCAGACTCATTCGACAACTCGTTCGACAATGAAAACGAACGTAGGTCCGCGATGCTATAACTGTCACCTTACAGGACACATTTCGCGTGAATGTACACGACCACGTCAACCCTTAAAGTGTACAAGGTGCAATACTGAAGGTCATACTGCGAAATATTGTAAAACTGTTACCTCCGATGTCAGTCTTGTCAGCCCGAGTGCTACGGGACAGATTATATTTTACATGAAAGACGTAAATATCAACGGTAATGAATAACCGATAATCGGACTTATCGATACGGGGAGTGCATATACAATCATTCGTAGATCAGTAGCTGATCAGCACGGACTACTAATAGAACCAAAGGCGATCACGATGTGCGTGTATGATAATGCTCAAACTGTTACCAGCTATGGGCAAACAAGTGCAGTCATGAAAATCGACGAAGTAAGTGAGCGAATATCATTAATTGTCGTCGACGACTACATTCAAAAGTATGATATCATAGTTGGTAGAACTTTTACTGACTGCGAGAATGTATCTTTTATCAAAAATAAAGACCGACTGTTATTCACTTACGGTATGCGATTTCCCTTTGAAGAAGAAGACAACATATGCGGTAACTTGGTCAAGTATGGTGCGAAAATAGTACGTGATACCAAGATATTACCACCGAAAAGTGCGTCGATGGTTAAAGTCAAAGTTAATAACGAACAGATCGAGATCATGCTTATCAACGACAACGTAATAGAGACAACTTTGAGTAAGGGCGTTAAGTTGGCGATTTAATATATAATACAAACGCGAATGAACTTCTGACGTCTGATCAAACACCCATTACCGTGGATATGGTGCAACATGAACCAGATATGACCAAGGAGGAAATTCATGAACTTACAGAACTGTTAAATAAATATCGCTCTTGTTTCGCGTTCAGTCTGAATGAGTTGGGATGCACGAGTGAGGTCGAGATGGAGATCGTGGATGATGGAAAACCGGTTGTATGCAAACCTTATCGAGTTAGCCTTGCTGAGCGGGAAATCATAAGTCAAATAGTTAAGGAATGGAAGGATGCTGGGATTGTAACAGAAACAAAATCTCCGTACGCGTCGCCCATATTGTTAGTTTCAAAAAAAAAAATGGAGAAGCTCGATTAGTAATCGATTATCGGAAACTAAATGCGCAGACCGTACGTAAAGTATTTCCAACGCCAAATATTGATGAAAACCTAGAGACCCTATACGGTGCAAAAATGTTTACCACGATGGACTTAGCTTCAAGATATCTGCAAGTACCATTGTCTGAATCAGCGAAAGAAAAGACAGCATTCAAACCCCAAACGAATCCGGCCAGTTTGAAAGAATGGTTTTTGGTTTAATTAATGAACCGTATGAATTCTCACGCCTCATGCAACGAATATTACATCCACTCAAAAATAAAGTAGCAATGTGGTATTTAGATGATATTTTGGTCCCTTCTATGTCGTTTGATGACATGATAAAGCGTCTGAGACAAGTATTAGATGCGCTGAAATCAGCTAATTTGACCCTAAAATTGAGTAAGTGTTATTTTGGGTTTCCTGAGGTGACATATCTTGGATTTATGCTATCGGCCGACGGAGTACGTCCGGGTGAACAGAAGATGGTAGCTGTACAGGTTAGCACTTTCCAAGGCCACAAAATAAACAGGAAGTACGAAGATTTTTGGGTTTATGCGGATTCTTCAGAGGTTTTATCACACATTATGCGTAACTGATACGACCAATCAGTGAATTACTGAAAGAGAAGGTAGCGTTTACTTGGGCAAAATCACAAGAGACTTCATTTCAAACACTGAAGAAGAAACTGGTTAGTAAACCTATATTGCAACTATACAATCCGACAGCTCACACCGAATTACATTGCGATGCCAGTAGTGTCGGGATAAATGGTATGTTACTTCAACCTGGTGACGACGGACACTTACATCTAGTACACGCTGTATCGAAGAAAACCACCTTGGCGAAGGAAAACTACCTCTCTAGCAGACTGGAACTAATGGCAATAGTTTGGAGCATGACTAGGTTACGTCAATATCTTATAGGTATAAAGTTTATAGTTATGACCGACTGTCAAGCGATAGTGCATCTAAATACCCAAAAGACCGTTCAACCCCAAATCGCAAGATGGGCAACCCTTTTGAGTGAATTTGATTTTGAAATTAAACACCGTCCAGGGACCAAGATGGAACACATTAACCCGTTAAGTCGAGCGCCGATCAACCCTTCAGAGGACACCAAAGTGGAGGTTCTGGCGATGCAACGGACTGATGCCACCCTGAAACACATCGTGGAGATCTTAAGTCGAGAAGATTTAAGTCGTACACAATCGGAAGCTGAATTAGTCAAGGACTATTGTCTAGAGAAAGGATTACTGTATAAAAGGGTCGCTGTTGATGGGAACACCAGAAAGTTGTGGGCAGTACCAAACTCCATGCGAAAGAGTATCGTGGTGCGGTTCCACGACCTAGCTGGACATTTCTCTGTGGAACGTACTGTCCTCAAGATACGAGAAAAATACTACTTTCCACGGATGCAGCGTTATGTACGTATACACATAAAGTGCTGCCCGAATGTATTTTAACGAAGGTGCCACGGAGAAGACAACCGGGAGAACTGAATCCGATCGAGCCTGGAAAGCGCCCCTTTGAAACTGTTAATTTGGACCATGTAGGACCTTTTGTCAAGTCAACGAAAGGAAACAGGTATATCCTAGTGTTAATTGATAATCTTACTAAATTTGTAAAATTGTACCCAGTTAGAAGTTGCGGCACCGAAGGAGTGACTAATAGTTTACGGCAGTTCATTCTAACATATGGTTCGCCTGAACGGGTTATCAACGACCTAGGGACGGCGTTCACATCCAGGGCGTTTGGGAACTTCTACTCTCAACATGGGATCAAACACATCCTAAACTCGGTGCGACACCCGCAATCTAACGGACAGGTGGAGAGGGTCAATAGTACCCTGATACCTGTCTTGCAGGCTAACATGGAATGTGACAATAAATGGCATAAACTTATATTGGAGGCTGAATGTCAGTTAAATAGCGCGTATAATAAAACACTTGGGGATACACCCTTTCATGTACTATTTGGTTATCGACCAAGTTTTAAGGATAGCACACTACATCATTTGATTGCAAAGGATACATGGGATGACACTGAAGGACTCCAAAACAACATTCGTGAGAAGATTACTGTAGAATAACAGCGACGGAAGGAAATATATGACAGCAGACATGCTAAATCAGTTATATACAATGTAGGTGACTTGGTTTTTATAAGAAAATCACCAGATGTAACCGGAGATTCCACCAAGTTGCAGTCAAAATACCGGGACCTTTGGTAGTCACAGAGGTGGCATCAAAAGATGTTTATCGAGTTGCTGGACTGAAGGCTGAAAATGGCAGACGGTATTCCACCACAGTACATGTATCACACATAAAGGGTTATCATCTACCCGAAACCGATGACGAAGCGGAAGAGACAACAACAGAAGACCAGGAAGAAGAACGATCACCTATGGAATAACTTGAGAGAAAGGAAACTATCACGGGAATGGACCATGATCCTGGAGAGCCAAGACGACCAGCAAGGAACCGTAAACCACCAGTGTAGCATGGTAGCTACAATATGAAGCGATAAGATAGTTGATAGACTTGTTATTATATTACTTATTTTAATTTGTTATTTATGTATATAAAAAAAAAAATGTTTATATAATTATTAAAATTTGAAAGGATTTAAATTGCAAGCGTGAATGTGAGTGAGGACACTCATGGGTCAGGAAGACCGAATGTTATAAAAAAAAAAAAAAAGGAAGAAGAAAATATTGTAAACGTACTGGCACTGTTGCCTTTGCGATGGAAGTACAGTCGGGAGTGACGGAAAGAGAGAGAGTGTAGTGCGCAGACGACCGTAGAGCGAAGAGTGTGTTGTCGTTATATTTATTTATTTTTTATGTCGTTTTGGAGATTTAAGTTTATATGTATATTCTATTGAATAAATGTTTATTAATTGCTTATGTAATACCAAGTGTTAATTCTTGTGCGTTTTCTTTGTGTAAAAGATAGAATTTCATATAATATATAACAAAAATTTCCTCAACAATTGTTTCTTTAATTAGGTCAGCACTTTCCAACTGGTATGGTTAATTTTATTCTCATATACATTTTTAAAATCTGGCATGAACTTTGAAAATACCATATAGCACATTTCCTTATAATTACCTAAAATTGTATTTATATTATTACAAGAAAACATTAATTTTATATAATTTAAATAATTTAAATAAAAATAATTTAATAATATTATAAATGTACCTTGATTTAAGGAATCTAAATTTTCATTATGTCCTCTAAATGCTATGCCTTGCTTAGCAAGATATAACACAATATCAATTAAACTAGACATGTATTTGTGATTAGTTTCAACTTGTTTTTTATGGAAGCTAGATAGTTGTATCACAACAGATCCTCTCTTTAAACTACTTTTATATGCACACATTTTCGATAAATTAGTCAAATGAGTACTGGTAGAAGAATGTTTTTTTGATTTTACAAGAAACTGAAAAAAATGTGGTCGATTAATCATAATACAAATTTAATATTCAATACTAACGCACTAAGTTATTCTAGCGAAGTATACATTTTTGAATAATTTTTATTTTTTAACTATTTTATTTGTGAAAATACATATGCTATTTCACTTCAAAATAAACAACTTATATTTTGCCAATTATTGAATCCAGATTCAATCCATACATTTTCACCTGAATTTAGTGAATTTTCTGAACCGAAAGTTCGGCAAACAAAGCAGAATGCAGTGTTACGTTGAACACTGTATTCTAGCTAATCACATTTATTATACCATTAGCTTCGAAATGCTCTTTGTTAAGTTCCAAATTTAATTTTTTTATATTCCTAATTAATAATAAAATTAATCAGAAAAATATCAAACACCTTATTACAGTTTTATATTTATACGTAACTATTTAAATATTTTTTTTTGGCGATAACTTGAAATTTATAAAAAATTATACAAGGCAGGTAATAAAAGTTAAAAAATATTATTTTATTTACAATAAGTTAGAAATATTAAAAAATTAGTGACTTATGTGAATGAATAATATTAATTGTCAAACATATTATTATTAAACACACAAATTGTTTTATCCGTGGTTAAAAATTAATGATAATTAATAAGAACATGCAATTTATGTATTAAATAATTATTTCCTTAATAAATAAGATAGGTATGTAAAGGTCTGAGGTACTAGATACTATAATAGGTAGGTACCTTCAAATATGTAGTCGAAAATATAATTTATTTAAATAATTTAGATTGAAATTTTTTTTACTTGTAATAGTATTTTAATTAAATGTAGGTATTTAAAATATCTCGAAAAATGAATTATTAAGTTTTTATATGTAAACAGAATAAATGTTATTGTGAGTATAGGACATGGGCCGGAATCTTTATTACCCAAATCAAGAGTTGTATCACTTGTATTAGTACTAGTAGTAGAAATGCCAGCCATGCCAGAATCGTCAATATCAGCTTCGATTTCATTTTTCTTATAATTTAAATTAGGTTTCCGTTTTTAAAAAATACTAAATTTTAAATATAAATTCAAATGTACGGAGACGGAATACTGTTACCTGTTGGCAGTTCATGTCTTGGGTACTGTCTGTATAACGTGTGTCGTGTAATGTTATAAGTATACTTATAACTTATAACGATAACGCATATAATAGAAAACATGCGGGTAGCGGATTATGTAGATAACTGTTTAAAAATAACTATTAACACAACCAAATTCCCAATGCAATATACCTTACCTTACCTATTATAATGTTGACCTCGTAACAAAAATTTTGTCATCTAATATAACTATCTTCCAAACATTAAATGTAAATAAATTATTCTAAAATAAAAATTTGAACAGAATAGGTAGGTACATTAATGAAATCAAGGATTAGAGTTTGAATTTTAGGGGGTGCTAATTTTTAGTCTGGGGGTGCTTAAGTCCCCCTAGCACCCTCCTAGTTGCGCCTATGGAGGTGATGAAAAACGAGCCTCATGATGATCATTGCGTATGCGCAACTCTGCTTATTTAAACAGTCGCGTGCATTTGTGTCAGTGGCGGCGCCAGAATTTTAATACCAGGGGGGCCAGGCTTTGGGGAGGGCCAAATTGTTGACTTGATATATATATATATATAAAACAATAGGGATGACAGAAAATTGTGCAGAGGGGGGGAGGGTTAACTTTCAATTTTTTAATTGTTTTCACACTTCATCGAGTAAACTTACTAAAACAATGATTTGTAAACATGTATTAATAGTATTTATTTCCTAACAAAATATATATTCATGTAAACACTTTTTAATTTTTATACTCCCTAACCCTAAATTACACTCAATAGCAATTACACCATCAGGCATCAATTGTAGTACAATTGAGTTTCTGTAACTATAAAAACATAACTACAAGTATTTTAAACTGACAATAAACATTATATTATGTTATAAAACCAATTCAAATAAACAATTCAACAAACATATCTTATTATATAAAAAAAAACAATATAAATATATTTTAAGATAAAATAAAAAATAACTGTGTTTAAAGATTAAATTGAACAATTAAAAACTTTTAATATTAATTATTTGTTTACTTAATAAAAATTAATTGGAAATAATAAGAACGATAAGATAATAATATATTATATAAGTACCTGTATAACACATGTAGGTAAGTTAAAAAAACAGCAATAAAATATATAATAATATAAATAATTTATTTTAATAAAATTCTTCTATTGCTATGACACTCAACAAAAATTTTGATTATATCCTCAATATTTAATGATTTTGCTTCTGATTTTTCTATAGCAATTATAGTTAAGCTAGATAGATTGTTGTGAAGCATAGAATTTCTCAAATATGATTTAATTCTTTTCATACATGAAAAAGTTCTTTCACATGCTGCTGAAGATACAGGTATTGTAATTGCAATAGTACATAATTTGTATAATTCAAAAAATGCTAGTTGATAATCGAATAAAAATTTATGAAATTGAAAAATAGTTTTTATAGAATGGTATTTTAATTCAAATTGTTTTATTGATTTTCATGATTTATTCATGAGATATTTTTTAGTATTCTAGTATGATTAAATTTAATTTTTGGGGTGGGCCACAGGGAGGGCCCGAGATTTTTTAAAGTGGGCCCGGGCCCACCCCTGGCGCCGCCACTGATTCGTGTATATACGCTTGTGTGTGTAATTAATGTACACAAGTAACAATTCAGAGGTGACGTTAAACGGTGCCTCTCTGACGTCATCGGAATATTGCCGCCGACTGAAATATGAGGGTTTGTTTACATAATAATTATTTCTTGCATTTCTTATCGATTTATTACTAAAAATAGCGATAAATCGATAAGAATTGCAATGTATATTAATTGTATAATTATTATACAATTATAAAAAAAATTATATTTCATATTATTAAACTTCACGAAGAAGAATTTTTTTTCAATTAAAATCATAAATATGTTAAAAATTATTAGCGAAATGTGTGCTATTGGTCAGCCAAGAACCATACTTTTAGAGTATTATTTCCTACAAAATTTTAGGTGAGACGCCGCCTCACTTACCTCACCATCAAAACCGCCACTGAACTATGAGAAACGGGGTATATAAGAGAGTTCCAAACAGACCATTAGGATGATGTGTTTTAGTCCTGTCCGAGAAAGCATCTTCGCACCATTAAACCTAAAACAAATTAACTTATAAATAATTAACTTGAAATTATTTCTTATACACAAATACGTGAGTACGATATTATAACAATTGTTGATTTTATGAAAGTTGACTTATTATTTGACAATCTTCACGATTGAACTGACGGCACGCAACATTATTGTATAATTTTAGTATAAAACTTCATGGTTAAGTTCAATTTTACTTTAAAGTTCAAATTGACTTTTAAGTATTATTACGATTTTTTTGTATGAGAATACAGAAAAGTGTTGTTTTTAGACTTTTTCAAGCAAGTTTGAATTAATAAAATATCAAACAAAAATTTTTCGTTTTTTTTTAACTTATTAATTTAAGTTAAGTTAACGATATTTTTAACTTAATTGAACATAAACTCAATTAAATTAACTTAACTGAGTTAAAAAATATCATTAATTTTTCCAGCCTTGTTTTTTTATAAACTATTAATCTATGATTATTATTATTTTGTTACACTTAATCAAATCCATAATTTGATTTTGGTATCTATTTGTACTTTTTTTTATGAGATAAAATTTCATAAAAATGCAACAATGTAATAACAAATATATGGATGTTGCAACAATATATAATGACAGTCACACAATTTTTGATGAACCCATGTATAATTCAAATAGTTTCATATTTGAAAATTCATTGAATACAAATGTTCAGATGCTGTTATTAAAATAATTTGGTTTGATGAAAAAAAACGTATTGATTTTACTATTAATTTAATTTCTATTACCTACTTCGCCTTTAAAATTTAAAATAATAATTTTAACAAAAAATTATGTTTTTATTTAGTTATTTTTATTTTAGTTATTATATTTTTAAAAATATTAGATGTTCTGAAAAAAATTTATTGGATAGTCATAAATTAGATTTGGTGACAATTATACGTAAAGAATACTTAAAAATCCGTTTGCATTAATTTTCTAAAACAAAAAATTCCATTTTTGTTGGTAAATGTGGTGAGGTTAACCAAGTTAGTTTTATTCAATAATCAATAATATTATTGTTTATTTTAATTTATGTAACAAAATTTATCAAGGTATGTTATATGGTATATTTTATACACTTTAAGTAGTACATGTTTTTTGAATTAATAATCTATAAAACTATATTATTATATTACCCTATATTATTATCTATATTACTTTCTGAATTAATAAAAAATATAATTTGTAGGTAGGTATCTATATATTTAAAATAATATATTAATATATATGGTACATACATTATATGTTTGATGTTTAATATTTAATTTTTTTTTTTTAAAAGTACAAATTATTTTTATTAATTTTTCTATAACTATTATTATTTAATTTTACCATAACTATTATTTGGACTTATTCCTATTGCATTCTGTAAAATTAATATAATGTCTTGCCTGTTGAAAACATGGCGGCCGTTTAATCAGCTGGCATTCATAGTTTGCATTGGTTATCATACAGAGTACCTTATCTAGTATTATATAGAAGTCTGTGTATCATAATATTGATTAGTACTTAATAAAAAAATTGAGTTTAAAATCAAAGATTATACGGAGTTCCTTATTTTCTTATCTATAAAAGATGTACGTGCAATAGCGTCTGAGCTAAGTCTATAATTATTAAAAATTTAAAGTAAATCAGTGATCTTTCAAGGTAGTGACCATCGGAACAGAATACGTTTTTGAAAAAAAACCACTTGTTACATACTAATTAGTAATATAATAATATGATGAACAATTAAAATTAAAAGTATTTGTTTGGTGTTTTGTAATTATTTATAACTTTTCAGCTTTAGGAAAAATCATTCAATTCCTAATACTCATACTCGGACTTTTAATTTTAAAGAATTCAAAATCAACTCCGTCTTAATTGTAGTAACAACAAATAATTATTAACTGTAGTTACTTAATTGTCTTGTAAGTAGCATTATTAAACCAAATAATTAAATTTTTTATTATTAACTAAATATGTACAAAAAACCAGTGATGGGAAAGAATGTATTCTTTTGAACGCATTTATTTCCCATGAACTAGACATGAGCGCGTTCGATTTTCATGAAATTAACTTTAGTATAAACTTGTTTCTTATATTTTATAAACATGTACATCTTTGGTTTAATGTAATTATGTAAACATGTAATTATAATTATTAATTTGTTTTGCACTATACTCAATAAAATCATAGGTTTAGAACACCGGTTTAAAAATATATATATTTTAAAGGTATACAAAAAAAATTGAGTCATTAAAGTTGCTTAGAAAAATAGGGAGATTAAAATTCAATATCAAAAAGGAAATTTTTACTTAAGAATATATATTTAACTGAGCATGAGTATTTCTACCCAGTAAAATATGTTGAGACTTGGGGCGAATTGGCAATTATTTTCGACCCAGAAAATATGAAACAAACCGGCCCATGAACCGCAAATTATACTATTTTACCCTTCCCCATCCCAAAAAAATGTTTTATTTTGCATCAATTTCAAAATTTGTTTAGTTTCTAAATTAGTAAAATCTACAATAACTTTACTATAATTATAGCTATAATAGTTTTGGGTAAGTCACATGGTTAATCAGTTCCAACTTGAACTTGAAGTTTGATCTTAATGCATCTTTAATTATATATTTATTTTTTTAATAATTTTTATTTATTCTACAAAATAAAACTTTTTTTTGGTGGTTATATAATAATATAGAGCGGCCCAAATAAGGACCGGCCCAACGGGAAGATTCCCGATAGACCAATCTGCCCCTGGTTGAGATCATACTAATGAGTATTACTGAAAAATTATAAAATAACAAAACTAAAAAATAAAATTCTAATTGCATGACTATACATATTGACTGTTTTCAATTGGTATTAACACTGTGCATAATTTACTTTTATTTCGATATGATATTCTTGAACTAATTAATTTAGAAAATTAACTTGAACTTATTAATTTTAAATATTATAAACTAAAATTTGAACTAGTTCATATTTAATATCTGGAACCAGAACATGCACTAGCTAATTTTTAAAGAACTTTTCTATAACTGCAAATAATCAATATATTTGTATATTAAAAATACATATATTAAATAGTTATATTCAGGCGCGGACTGGCTAGGGTGCTGGAATGCTACAGCATCCCTTGTCCAAAAATATATTTTCCCTTATTAGTTTAAATGTGCCATAATTACTTCATCTAAAATTAATGTGAATTTTGAAGACGAATACCTACCTATTTCAGTTCTCTGATAAAGTTGTATGTAGATCTATTATTTATATAATAACTATAACAACTATAAAGAATACATTTAAAGTAGGTAACTTGTAAGGAAGTAAGTTAATCACTTTGAGCCGTTTTTTTATATATATTAAATTTACTTAATTAATTTATTATCAACACATTCTTCATAAGCAGCACTTGGCCATAATATTGTAAGTGGCAACAATTTATCATGATTTACTGACCCATTTAAATTGATAAGTTTTTCCTTTCAATTTCTGGGGGGCAACTGCCCTCTCTAGAGTCTAGACCTACAAAAATAGTTTTATTAACTGCTACTGCTTAATTATGTACCAAAATAAGAACATGGTTAAAATCATTTATCTCTGTAATTACAGAATTTAACAATATTATTTTGCTATGTCCAATACGAGGTTAATGTAATGGCCAGTAAAATAGTAAAAAACATCCCGAATAATACATAATCTACTAATCGTTATATTAAAAAATTCATAGAATGTATTATATTTATTAATATTATAGTTATTGTACTGGAAGTGAGAGTGAGCATACAAATGTATTACTGAAATTAATGTGAGTATTGCTCTTAGATAGCTGGTACCTATATATTTATATTTTTATTTAGTCATATATCTACTACCTTCATACATCGTAATGGCTAAAATCAAATTTATGGTATTTTTAAGGTAATCAAATATAATACTTGAATGTTTAATAACAGACTATCGATTAATTTTTATCTATTTTTACCATACAACTGTCGAACATTGTAATCTAATATTGTACAATTTTGTTTGAATGTTTGTAGTAATTTGTTAAGTTCCTATTTACGTTTTTTAACATATTTTCAATATTTTATTAAAACAAAAGAAAATATTTTATAAATAACCTATATGTTTTTAATTTGCCCTAAATTATTTTGTTATTTGCCTTTAAAATTATTTAGCATCCCGTGCCCTTTTTTACCAGTCCGTGCCTGTTTATATTCATATAGGATGTTAAATGTTCTATTTTATATGAAAACATTAGGTTTTAAATAAAAATATTTTTTTTTTTTAGGTTATTTTTTTACTTCCAACATTTACATTGAGTGTTAAACCACCATTACATCCATGACCCATTTTTTAACTTAATACATACATTTATTTGTATACACTTTCATCTCAATACAGAAAAGTATTTAGTATACATATTAGTAAGTATAAGAAATTATTTAATTTTAATATTAAAAAAAATTAATTTACAAAAAATGTATTTTTATTGTTTTATTTATTATGTTTATTAATAATGTTCATAGAAATGAGTAGAAGTGATTCTGAGTCTACAGATAGCGACAATAACAATGAAGAACCCTATTCTTATGATTATTACCTACAAAGGATAATGCCTAATGCTCAATATGGAGATAATGTGGATTTAGATGACAATAGTAGTTTAGACTTCGAAATTCTTGATGATCATAGTGATGTAAGGTTTTTGATCTTATTAATAAGTATTTTTTTTCTAACTTTATTAAAATTTAGAGTGAAGTGGAATTACTTAATTCATCTGATGAATCAGATAATCTGTCAGATACCTCATCTCATAGTTCAAGACATTCATCTTTATTAGCACCATTCATAAGGATTGGAGGTATAACAAACGAACAAACCAGTGTCAGTGTTGCAAAGCCAAATTCTTGGTGTATTCCTAAAGAATTATATAAAAGGTTTTTTTGTAAATATTTTATTTTTAAACATTTTAATAATAAAATAATTTTATAGAGAGATAGGCAATTATGATAGACGTGCAAAGTGGAGTAATAATTTTTATCAATCTGAAGTTGCGGTGCAAAAACTCAAGCTGAGTAAACAATTAATAGGCCATAAGGGTTGTGTAAATTCTCTTGATTTTAATAATGCTGGTGATGTAATAGCAAGTGGATCAGATGACTGTAATATATGCCTTTGGAATTGGTCTCAGGGAACTTGCATATCCAAATATAGAACTGCACATTTTAAAAATATTTTTCAAGTAAATTAATTTTTGATTTTCATGTTTGTATGTATACCTTTATACTCTAATAATTAATTTATCATTAATCATTATATCTTTAGACAAAATTTCTTACAACTCAAGGAGATGTTCATATTGTATCATCTGGACTGGATGGATTAATTATATTGTCTACTGCAATTAATTCTGATCGTTTTAGTAGTAAAATAATAGCACGCCATGATCGTCAATGTAATAAACTTGGATTGCATCCTGAAGTGCCTTATGTAATTCTCAGTTGTGGAGAAGATGGCGTTGTTAAGAATATTGACATTCGTGAATCGCTTCTTTTGGATAATATGAAAATTACAAAGTAAGGAATATTATTTAATATATTACGTTATTACTTTATATAATTTAAAAGTAGTATAATAAGAAATAAAAATATAATATCCCCCTACATTTGTAATTATTCATGTTTTGCTTATTGATTCCATAAAATTAGAATTAGTATACATAAAATTAATAATAGATAGTAAGTAATTACATTTAAATTGATGTTTCTTATAAATGTATTTTTATTTGATTAGTATACTACATATGAAAGATACTAATGGAGCCTTCATGAAGTTATTCAGTATTGACATAAACCCTATGAATCCATTTGAATTTATAATTAATGGTGATGATGAGTACGTCAGAATGTTTGACAAAAGAAAACTATCAAATGGACCAATAAAAATGTTCGAAGCTAGTTATCCACATGATAGAGTAGGTTGACATATTAAAAAATATTTTGATTGAATTTCTCAACAGTTCAATAATTTTCAGCAACCTGGTGAAGATAATAACTGTCATTCAATAACTTCAAGAGATTCTAATTATGAGCCAAATGTTACATCTGCTGTTTATAATTATTGTGGAACGGAAATTTTAGCTTCCTATAGTGAAGATGATATTTATCTATTTGATGTCAATGGTCCTCCTAGAAGCTATATACGCCGTTATAACGGTCATATAAATAAATCAACTTGTATATATTTTTATGAATGTTTTTTATTTAATACTCAAAAGTTTCTATAACTCATTGACATTTTTTTATTTAGTAAAATGTGTCAACTTTTATGGACCTAGAAGTGAGTATGTAGTATCTGGATCAGACTGTGGATGTTTATTTATATGGGATAAAAAAACAGAAGCTATAGTTCAAAGAAAACATGCAGATGCACGAGGAGCTGTACGTCAAAATATTTTTCTTTTTTAATTAATATTATGTAATATATATATAATTATCATATTTTGATTTTCAGGTTAATGTATTAGAGGGTCATCCGCACATGCCTACCCTAGCAACCAGTGGACTCGATAAGACTATTAAAATATGGGAACCATTAAGTAAAGGAAAGTTGCAAAATAAAAAAAAATTACAAAGGGTAAATTAATTTTTATTAAAAGTAATATTTGTATGTCATAACATGATATTTAGAGAAATCATTTCACTTGTTTGTTGATAGGCAATATTGAAAAATAGAATAGTAAACAGCGAACGTTTTAGATTAAGACTTACAGATTATAGATTGGAAAGAATGGTGAGATATGATTTCTAAACGTCTTCTACTCACCTTAAAACTCTGACTAATATAATATATAAATATATATATGTATTAATTTTTTTAATTTTTGTATATTTTGATGGTAAATTTCAGTTCCATAGACTCTTTGGTGAAACTGAGAATAATTTTCAATTTCCCAAATACTTTTAAATAATTGTACAATAGTTAAAAATATGCTGTACAAATTTTATTATTATTTGATGTATTATAAAAATGTTGGATTAATTACATAATATAATGTAATAAAACTATTAAGTATACAAATATTTTTATTTTGAAAACTTGTTTTTTTTTATCTTTTCAATACATTCCAATTAATGTTGAGAGTCTAGTATAGTATTTTAACATAACTAAACCAAGAACAATTGTATAAATTCCTTTAATGCCAATTACTGACCAAGGATCAATTAAAAGCCAAGCAGCAATAGAATCAATAACCACTGTACGGTATACAGACAGTAATAGAAGAATGGTGACAGCAGCAAATGGTGAAAAATTTGATTTTAATTTGGATAAATCATGTCTGGACCATAGCCAAACTAATGCAGCAGTCATTATATGATGCATCTATATAAAACAAAAATGATAAAAGCAATAAGTAACTTTTAAACAATATATTAGATGATACATATGTTTAAGGGACAATGAATAATTGTAATTAATTAATAATAACATTAATTTCAAAATCATTAAAATTTATTGACTGAATACATTTTTTACTATTCTCAAATTTGTTTGTCGTGATGATTTTTAACTTTCTTATTCTCTGCATTTCAACATCTGTGGTGACACATGAATACTGAATACTCACAATGGCAACTATTCACATTTAGTATATAGCAATAGATTAATATATATATTTTATACTTTTATTAATTTATAGAAAATTGAAAATTGAATATTTTTTACGGTTTAGTTTTAGAACTATTTATCCAATAATCTTGGGTTTTTTAAATTTATAGAGAACATAGTGGAACAGGTTATAGATACAAATTGATATAAGATATTTTTATTTATTTTTTTAATTAATTTGCTTTTTATAAGAAATAATTACAGCAACGCAAATATAAGATATTAGATGTGCTAGGTTTATCAATTATAGTTAAACCTTTTTATGCTGGTGCCTCTGTAAAACAGAACCCTAATTAAAACACATTTCAATAATCCCAATCAAAATAACTAGTAAAATTAACTTCTCTAAGACAACCTCTACGTAACGGAAACAGTCACATTTTAATGTAATAACCATTAATTATAATCTTTATATGACAGAAAATTAAATTATTTAAAAATAAATAACATCAAATGTTACACATGTATCTAAACTTCATTATTATCTTTTCCTTCAAATGAAAAAATTAGTATGAATTTTCCAGAAAATGTTTTGAACGAAATGAATGAAGTGTACCTCACAGTCGATATTTATATAGAAGATTTTTTACTTCTTATAATGAATTAGAAACTCATCAAACTTACGATTCAAAATGTAGATGATACCAACAAAACTAGCAAAGAACCACAAATATAGGATTTTAAAATCGTTATTTGGAACTTAGAAGGACTACAAAAAATGTTAATAACAATTTCAAATGCATAATTATTATAATTAACAAGAATGTGCTGTACATAATAATAAAAAAACAATCAAATGATAAAAAAAATTTTTTTTAATTATTAATAAAAGTTAACTTTTACTATGTATAAATTATAATTAAAAAAGGTTAACTTTAATTTTTGTTCATCCTCTATATAAAAGAAAACTCTTAATAATAGAAAAAATTTGTAATTTCGTTTTAAAAAGGTTTTACTGTATATTAAAATAAACTCGTAACTATTATCTTTTTTTTTTTTTTATACATAGACGTACAGGGATAATCAATATGTCATGAAGATTAAACTAATAATGAAAACAAAAACTTACATTAGTTAAAAATAAATTTCTTACCAAATTTATATTAGATTCTAGACACTTTTGAGTGTACTTCCAATCAAATTCAGTGCCTCTTGCTCCCACCCATAATAGAAGAAATCTTGTTAATAATATTTCAGCGCCCGCCCATCCAATACCAGCAGTCATTACTTTGGCATGTCCCTTACCTGGAATACTTTGTAGTATAAAGTAAATCCCAGCAATATCTGCTAAGTCAATGGAACTTTTGAAAAAATTCTAAAAATAATAAATCAAACAAGCCAATAAATCTAAAAGGTATAAATAGGTAGGCTATACATTACTCATATATAAACTATAATTAAATGAGACATTAGAAATAATAATGATTTGCATTAAGTTACCGATAAACTTATAGTGTTAATAGATGCTTCGTTGGCAGGAAAAAATGTTGCCAAGATCAACATTTTACACAGTTGTGTAAATGCGTAGATAATACCGCCTTGTATGCACTTCCAAAATGCTCCATATTCAGATCTGAAAATTTAAAAATGAAAATAACAGTTGCAACAAACCAAATACATTCAGGAACACTTACAAGTTCGCATACTTATATGTTAAATAATGAGGTACATATAATAAAGTGACACAGTTCCCGAAATGATACAAAGTCATTATCGACGAGGAATATAAATTCACAAATTAACACAATCAAATAATTGACACAACCCTCAGGCAGAATACGTTGTAGACCGTAAGATCGTGATGGAAATGTGGTGAAATTATAGATCGAAAATCACACATCATGTAGCATTTGTTGTGTAAAAATCTGATTATCACAAGTCCAATTATAATATGAATAATGAACACGTTATCGGCTTATCGCTAGCCGACATTGTTATCGTCCATGAAGTACAACGGGGAGGAGCGTCTAAACACAGGAATGCACTTTAAGCATTCTGCGCATGTGCATAATTTATTCGCCACTATCATAATGTTAAGGCGCGTCCAGACGAAGCAGCTTTTGCTGCGCGGTTTGGGTGTGAATGCATGAATACATTTTCAGCGGCTTTTTTTGATTTCCGATCGGCCTAGTAGGCGGTCTACATCAAAGGAAAGAGCCGCGCGTGTGTGGACGTATTTTCGGCAAAGCCGCGCGGCATCAGAACTTATTTTTTAAGTAGGTATTTAAATTATTTTTTAAGTAATTAGTAACAGAACAAACTTTTTTCACCGAGGTAAAACTGATTTTTGTAGTAATCTTCAGAAGACACAATTTTTATTCTATCAAAATGTCGATACTGAAGATTCTCTGTTTTTAATAATACAAAGATCAATAATGATTTTTCTAAAATCTTTAATTTCATGTTTTTTAAGATTCAAAAATATATATTACTTGCTGATCACGTGCACTTCGTTGCCTAATAAAAATGACACAACTTTATAGTATTATGAATAATATATTATTATTATTATTATTATAACTTTAAAACAAATCGGGAAATAAATGCCGCACCGTGTGGACGCGTATTTGCCACGCGGCACGGGGCCGACGGAGACCGCGCGGCTATGTCTTACGACAAAAGCTGCTCCGTCTGGACGCGCCTTTAGGCTGTTACATAGAGTTACTCTATGGGCTGTTATCAATATATCATATCAAATCACTATGATACGATAATAATATGAAATATGAATCAAACTATTCAAAATTTAACCACATACTTCCTACGTAAATAATATGTTGTCATTTTATTTTAGTTGTTAAATAATAATGTTCAGTTTCGTTATAATTTTTTTTTGTAGTAGCATATTATTGAGATGTTTAGTTTCAACTCTAGTGTAATGTACTATCTATACATTGTGTTTTTTTCATACGTATTTTATAGTTACTAAGTAACAGTATTGGACGTAATCGATTAATTCACGATTAAATTACGTAATCGATTACGATTACTTTATTAAATTACATTAATCATTAATCGTTTAATTATCTCTCAAAGTAATCAATAATCATGATTACATATTTGTAATCGTTAATCATTATCGCCTAATTTATCTCAAAAATGATTTTTTTTATAAGATATTACTTAAAATAGTATGAATTTCCAAAATATCAACGATATTAAGGTCTATTAATTTCATATACCTTATCTTATGCATGTTATAAGGTATTTTTCTATAGATATAACTTCATTATGTACCTCATATCTACTTTAATTCGGTAAACGTACAATAAAATATTATGAGTAGGTACCTATTTAGTTGGCTTTATTATTCCGTGTTCATTGCATTTCGTAATTTTTGGTTTGATCTCGTATAATACATATTATATCATATTGTACTCTACCTAAACTTAATAATATAATGAGTGGCAGTGAAGAATATTCTGTGTCTCAGAGCTCTAGCATGTCTTTATCTGTACTAATTCCGTCTCCTCCTCCATCTCCACAGTCAATTGATGGTAAATTTTTTATTAACCACTAGGCCAGTGGTTCATGTATATAAAACATATGTGTATACATTTCCATTCAACCCATTTTACTGTCCATCAAGTTAAAACAAATAACAGGTGAATTACGTATATCGGACTATAAATAATATAAAGTATACGTATGTATATCACATATATATCATATTGTAAATTCTACGAATATAATACATATATTTATAATTAAACCGCAGAGAAATTTAAACAGTAAGACAATACCTCTGCGTTATATTAATTTTCGTTATGTTGAATTTACTGTCTTATAAATGTTTACAAAACTTATAACAATGAATACGAAAATTTGACTACGTCAAAAAAAAGTACGTCTCTAATAACAATTATTTCTATGATTTCGGAATTAAGTTATACTTCGTTCACTAACTTGCCTTGATTGGCGAATAGGGACAAATAGACATGGCTATTTGGACGAGGCCGTTTGGACGTAAATAAAAAAAAATATATATATAAAAGTATATTTATAAAGCGGCCCTCACATGATCAATATCACTGACAATATTTTTGATACTGACAGTATAATGTATCATTCTACAGTATCATTCTTACAGCAAAAATACACTTTGTAATATTATGTTCTTTTTATTATAATCATTAAACTACTGAATTCATATATATCTTATGATTTATTTTAAATATATGTCAAAACTGAAAATATTTTACTTCTATTAAATAATCAAAGAGAGAATTGCAATAAAGAAAAATATATTAATGCATCAGAAAATACTATATATTATTATTATATAAATAATAAATAAATAAATAAATAATAAATTATATATATATTTATATTATTATATAAAATTAAAAAAGTAATTTTTATTTATTTTTTATTTCGACATAAAACGAACAGTGTATTTTAAAATCCCGCACGAATCCAAATCATGTGATTTTGATGTTTTATAAAAATAATATTACATAATAGTTGTCATAGGCAATCTCGAAAAATCAATTAACGTTTTTCTTAGTTACCACTGGAGACAGTTGTTGATACCTCGATAGTAGAATTATTCTTACATTTTCCGTCGATTTCGTTAATTTTGTCTTCCGTATTACGAATTTGTTTTGTAATTTATTCGTTTCAAATATACCAAGATTATATTTTATTGTTTTTATATTTAATTTGTTGTGGAAGATAAATTAAAAAACAATGAACAACATGGAAGCAATTTGTATTTGTGATATGGTCGGCCACCTGAAATTTAAGAAAATGATGTATACGAAGAAGAAATGTTCGCTGTGTGATCAGAGATGTCTTTTTAAAGTTTTGAAAATGGTTGAATGCATCGGTAAGGTAGACATATATGACTAAAAATAAGATTTTGGTACAAAAACAAAAGTTTCTAAAAAATATAATTCTATCATCAAAATCCTCATTCTATTTTTGGTGTACTCGCGGGATTAAGTATAAGTACTGTATTTTATCTAAAACTTGAATATTCCATGACAGCGTGCAATCGTGTGATGCACAAAAGGTGTTTTGAGGTGGCTAAAAGTCAGTTAGTATACGCACCATCCGGCGGTATAGTGGTGGACCAAAACATCAGTACCTTAGCCACTCTTGGCCATAGACGCCAAATACTCGGTGTTACTGCAGACACTGAAAAACAAAAGGCAGGAAACCGCGGTCCAGAGTTAAAGACTGAAGTGCTATGGCTGCGGAACACTAGAAATTCGGCGGTCTACAGGATGAAAGTAGAATTGAAAATCGGCGAAAAGTGTTACGTGGACTATTACAAGCTAGATGTCAAAAAGTTGTGTTGATGGCAGCGGTGATCGTATCGGAAAAGGAAAGAAGCTTATGGAAACAAAGTTTACAATAGTTATTTTACCTAAAGCATTAAGAAGTTGGATGATGTAAAATTAAATTGAACATATAAATACAACGAAATAGTATAGGGTTAGGTATTTCGAAGGCATAGGTAATCTCATGTTATTATTTGTTGAACGTATAATGTAATTATCATACAACACGATTGACTTGAAAATTATTCTATAAATTCAATAAATAATACAAAATTGCCTATGCCACAAAAATACCTATACTATTTCGATGTACTAATATGTTCGATTTTTTTTATATCATTCGAATTCTTAATGCACTAGGTAAAGTAACTATTATAAGCTTTGTTTCATAAGCTTATTTCCTTTTCTTATTTCACGCCAAGGATAGTTTAAAAAAAAATAAAGAATCCAATGGCACGTAGTGTTCCCAAATGGCCATCCACCCAAGAACCAAAGTACGTTTCAAGGCGCCAGTATCTGTGAATAAGAAAAATATATTGACTGTTTTTCAAGATGCACACATTTTGGTTTAACCTAAAGCTGCGTCTAAACAGGTCGACCGCGGTCATATGACTGTTGCCGTGCGATAAAATTGAAAGAAAATTTATAAAAAAAAAAGTAAAAAGGAAAAAGGAAAAAGTCGCAAAACAGCATTAGCAACCAAATGTATACATACGCTCCGCTTATATTTGTTACTATCATTTACTTTGTCTAAGTTGATGTTAAATTAAAAAGTGTTAAATAAAATATAAGTAATACCGTAATAAGTATTCTTGATAAAGTTATTAATCTAACTATAAAATCCTTACATCCTAATATTGTGTAACTGTGTTTAACTCACAACTCGGCACACTACACTGTTTGGTTTCAATAATTCATACTTGTACTTACTATTAAGATAATGTAATATACATAGATATTAGATAATATTGAATTATGTTTAAGATGTTTGTGAATTGTACTGTTAATACTCAATAAAACATTTAGTAAATATCCTTTGTGTAATAAATTTTGGTAAAGTCTGGTTTATGAAATGTTCAAATAGGTAATTGGGTAAATGTAGGTATAACTAAACATTATTAAAAGCTATCTCGACATATTAGATAGTTATTGCTGTTTTGATTTTTTTTTTCAAATGTATTTGGTATGTATAACGATTTATTTACTGAAATGATCGGAGCACAAAAAAAAATGTAAAATACCTACGTATGTAGTATGTTCAAATTTTTAATAGTTTGATTCAAAACTCATATGATTATAATAATATTACTATCGTATTATAGTGATTTGATATAATACATTGATAACAGCCTAACATTATGAAAGTGGTGAATAAATTACGCTCATGCGCAGAATGCTTAAGGTGCATTCCTGTTTTTAGACGAGCGCTTCCCCGCAGTAAGACATTTGGCTGCCTTATATAAGAACGTTATCATTGTTTTATAAATTCTTTACATTTGATGAATATAAATTATATTATGACCTAATATATATGGTAGGTAGGTAGTAGAGCAAATGAATAGTTGTAATGGAGACTGGAGTTATTAAATATAATTACTTTATTACATATTAATTAATAGAAAAATGTAGTTATTTTTTTACAAGAATGGAATTAAAGGTCTAATGGAACTAAAGGTCTCCATAATATTGTTTTTATCGAAAATTCATTAATTTATATTATAAAATAAAATACGAAAATGTGTGATAATAACAATACATTAAAATATTATTACGCAAGATAATGCAATTTAATAGTACATCAAATTAAATTAACACATTTTGATACGGCCAACGGGGGGGGTCACCCCTACCACCCTCCCCCTTGGATCCGATCCTGGTTTTATAAAAGAAATAAAAAATTATGCGATCAATCAAACGTGTTTGTCAGTGCATTTTTTAACTAGTTAACTAGGCGACACAAATGTCGCCTAGTGATTATATTCTGTCGACAATATTTTGAAAGATTGGACGAAATAATGCGAAACAAACGTGTAATACTATAATCGTACTATGATATTACATTGACTATTTTGAGAAAAACATTTTTGTCGCCCAGTGAAAATTCCTTATAAAATGCACTGGTGTTTTTGGTAATTAGTTGATTTTGTGCCGTTCCATTAATTTATAAACGGCGCTTTGTATAGGCAGTTTTAATACACACATGTCTTGGTACTAACACATCGTATTCAACAAGTAAGCGATAAGATTTTTCACAAGAGGACACCAAAACCTGGTATGTGTTACTTACAATCAAACAAATTAAAAAAGTAAATAAAAATAAAAATTTTAAAGTAACATGTGTTTTACTTTTTTTGTTTATTTATTTATTATTATTATAATTTTTTTTTTTTTTTTTTAAGAAAAAGACAATCTGTACGCAATTTTTTTATACAATAAACAATTGGAATACATGCTGCATGATCGATCACTCCTGATAATCTTACCATGTGTTTTACTTTCATGAATCATATAAATAATAAATTGTGCATTGTGTGATTTTTCTAATCGCTGTAGTAGTGGTGGATCATTCTAATTGCTGAGCACTTTTAAGATTTTTTGCTGTATTTTCTTCAATTTAATCACTTGACTTCCGTTATTTTTAAACATTAAGTTATTCATTTTTATCAAACTGAAATATGATATGCTATGCCTTGCAACTCCTTTTTTCCATTTGGTTTCTTTTTACTGTGATGTGCATTACTTTGTATGCTTGAAGGATATTTCACAGTTTAATACTATACGAACCAAGGTAGCGGTTATCATGAATATCATAATGTTACGAGGCACGAGATTAGAAGAAGAACTAGATTATTGTCATTATTAAATTTATGAATGGTTCTATTTTATATAACCAATTAAGAATTATTTTTTTGTATTTTTGCTTGTTTTAATTTCACTCATATTATTCAACTTATCATAGTGTTCATAACTAAAAAGTCAAAAATATTTATAATGTTTATACATGGTTATCCTCTATTTTTCTACAATGCTTTTTATAGTATATAAGTTACTATTCTAATTTTAAATAGGTTTATCCATGTGAATACTTCATATCAGATATTACGATTCAAGTTGAATAATAATCACATAACTTATGTAGCCTTCTCTGAGAAAATACTTTTAGATAAATTTTACTTCATCACATTTATTTTATTCTGGTTTACTTTTAAACTTGTAAACCTATAATTTTAACGAAAATTATCACATTAGTATCGGCGTCATAGTCTATTTAAAATTATGTATTTTCAAAATATATAATATTGTTATGATACGTCATAAGTCGTTGATAGTCCAATGGTTGTAACTTATAACGTTATGTTCTTTGTACGTCATAATCGTATAATCCGATAATATTTTTTGCAATTGTTGCGATCAATTAATGTGACCATTTTTCTATCATCTATTACGAGGCTCATACACAGTTAATAACATTTATCAATATTTGTATCGTTAAATGTTTCAAAAAATGTTTACATTTTTGTGACACATAAACGATCAATAATATCTACTAATAAATTGCTAAATTAAATGTTATTAATTTAGAAAACAATCAACACTCCTATAGTTAATATTTTTTTATTGAACAGAATAGAACGAAATTATGAAAATATAATATTCTTTTCATATATTATAATATTATATATTTCAAAAATTTCTAAAAAATCATAAAAACATCGAAATATTTGCTAAAATATGAAATATGCTATTAAAATTGTAAAATAATAAGCCCATAAAATAGAAAAATGTGACTGATGACTGAAGTAAAATTGTAAGTTGTAAATAAAACAAAATTGTTAACTCGGAGGGGGCCCGGACGAGTGTGAATGCCTGATCCGAGTCAACCCGGACGTGTCACGAACCAAGCTCGGACCCGGCCCGGACCAGTGAGAATCGACCTTTACTGTGCGCCCAGTGCTCGACTTGTGGGGGGACTCAGGGGGATGGAGTACCACAACTAATTTTCAGAAATTTTAGCGCCCCCTACTATTATTACGATATAATCATAACGCTCAGCCAGTTTGGGGACGTTCTTTTGTTTAAAGTAAATAGAGTCCCCCTTCTTTAATTTTGCCAAGTCGAGCATTGTGTGCACCTAACCCTTGATTATTTATTACGTTTGGTTAGCCTTGTGACTTCTGTATTTTGCAAAACCATCTTTCACATATTGAAAAACACCCGTAATCCTTTAGTCATTCTATTTATAAGAGTTATTCTAATGTTACTTGTAAGGACCTGCATTTATGTATGTCCGTAATAGTATGTAGCATGTATTTTCTTCTGTGAACATAATAACATTTTGAATTCGGCAATTGAAAGAAACTAGATGTACCCTAAGTGGACGTAGACAATGGCCTGTAGAATATGACGTATTATATATATATGGTTTCAACAAGACGAGGCTAGTTTTTAATAGCTCTAGAACCATCAATTACCTAATTTTTATCCGAAATATTAACAGATGTAGACCTATTAAGATTCGGATGAGAACACATTGATAATTATTACATTATACAAATGAGAATCATGATTATTGCAATTTGATAATGTAGATTAGGGTTGCCAGATTTAGGGACACATAAAAATGTTTTTTTTTTTTTTTTTACTGACAAAGAGTAAGGAAAATTCGGAATAATTGTTTACGGTTTATAAATATAAAATTATGAATGTAAATTGCATGTACTTTTTCAAAATATAAATTTAAATTAAAAAACTTTGAAAAAATTATCAACGATTTTGATACTTCTGAATCAAGAAAAAAGTTTTAAATTTTCTAGTTTATTAGTTTTTTCTTTTATATTAATTTAAGTTTCATATATTATAATATATGAAATATATATTTTATGTAATGTATGCATAATATACTATGATTTATATTGTATAGAAATCTTAAAAAGAAACCATAATAGTAATGAAATTTATTTTCTTTTTAGAATGGGCGGCAAAATATGTGTTGCCCCCCTATCATAACCCCTATCTAACCCCCCTATCATACAACCTTAAAATAGCTAAAAGATACATAAAATTTGCTTAATCGCGTTAAATATTATACAAAATATTTAAATTTTGAGTTCACTGCGAATAGTATAAAAGTGTGAGTTCGTGTTCAATTATAGACAGGCGCCAGATACCCATTAATTATTTTTTTACTACCACATTTACAATCGCAGGATTATATACTGATGTATCATTAACCGTTGTTCGTTAATATTAAAATACTATCGGAATAAATAATGAAATAAACTTACTCAGTACAACAGGAAACACGCACATATCTGCAACTGTGCATAATTTAGGTGTTGTTTATAATTTTTACTGTATGCAATGAGATATGTTGGAACGTTTTGATATATAAATTTAAAACCCTTTTATTTTTGTTATTGAATACAAGGAATATACTATAGTTATAAATTATATGTATCTCATTGATGTATTCGGTTTTAATATTATGTATAAACAGTGTATTTCAGATTATTTCTAAAGGCATATAAAAACAAAATACAAAGTATTAAATTAATCTATTTGATCCGTTAAATCAAAGTAAATTTTATTTTTACCTATTATCTATTGGTATATTTGAATAATGGAATTTGATAAAAACTTTGTTTATTTGAAAAAATATAAATACTTGAATTTTTTACTTCGATCGGTGTGTATCATCACACGAATGCCCTGTAAGTAGTCAATAAATATTCAATCTAGTACTACATACCACTGTACCGACTTTACTTACTATGTTATAATAAACACTAAAACCCAACACTGTGATTTGACGTAAAAAAATTAACGTATGAATAATGTAATTTTTTTTTCAGCTCATGAGAAATCTGAATCGATTATTTCAGACAATTATATTACACTGTTAGAATGGACGTATACAGCAGTGTTCTATGTTTTTTCGTGTTTCACTTTGTATGACTTGATCTACGCTAAAAGTTTACTGAAGCCGTTCGTAGATAACTTCACTATGGACAGCATTAACTATGTGTTGATTACGTCGTTGTCTATTGGTATCGTTGTGTTGAATCCCTTGTTGGCCAGCAGAGCACACGAGAATCGAGTAAAATACTATCAACTTTGGAGAGAATACCAGGTGTCTATACACGGAATGATGATAATAAATTAATCTGCATTTAAAATTGGGAAAGCATACATTATTTATTTTAATACAAAGATATTTTTTTTCTTCTACAGGATTTTAAATGCGGGTTCTGAGTAAAATGTTTTAAAAACTTAATAACTTTTAACACTTTTCTTTTTCTCTGTAATATAATTAAAAATCAAAATATTTGATTAGACTATTTTCCTTAACGTCTAAATGTTTGCAATAGGGATAACATTACCCGGTAGGTTCGGGAGAGACAAATATTACAAATACAGGAACCAAAATTTTTTTAAATAATAATATGGTTCGCGTACCAATTATGTATTCTATTATGATGAGCACGCTCGAAATTTACTTGACATACGAAGTAAAACGTAATATTCATGTCCAATGTCGTGATTGACATTTGTTATTATTGTTTGTTTACAGATTAAATACGAGCAGTACACATTTTCGAAATTGAATCTCGGCTCTTCTATTTTTATATTTTCGGTAATTATCTGTGGTATAATCGCAACGACACTGGAGTTGGCTGCAAACTGTTTGTTGACGTCGCAATTTACGTCCGCTTACGTGTATGTCTATTGGCTCATTTATTTTTACACAAACTTTACGACCGTCCTGTGGGTCACGGATTGCCACCTATTGGCCAATGCATCAGAGAATTTGATCAACCGATTACTAGTAAGTCATGTTGATGAGACTGCCTATCTATGTACATGAAAATAAAACCAGAAATTTAACCTTAGACTATCTTTATTACTACACGACACATATATATCATAGTAAAATATATTGTAGATGTATATTAGTGATGAGTAGAGTTGGGATGTTGATAATCTAAAAAACACACAAAAATGCCCTAAAAACTTCAAAAAATTACCTTAAAAATGATCTAAAAAACTAATTAAGTAAGTGAAAAAAATATTTATTTATAATAATAATTTTTATTAGAGATATGGATGTGATAATGTGTGTAATAATACTTTAAAATATGAATCATAAATTATAATATTAATAAACAATAGTATACATTTACATTTTAAGCATTATATAATATTATTATTATTGTTATTAATATTATTAATATTATTGTTATTATTATTATTATATTATTCATACTTGTTTTAAAATCTAAAAATTGAGAAAAACGACCTATATTGTATAAAAACTACAAAACATGACCTAAAAGATGAAAAAATGACTTAAAAATGTTGAAAAATGACGTTAAAAAACAAAAAAATGCCTAAAAATTAAATAATATTATATATGTATTTGTTTTGATGTTTTGTATCAACTGTATTCATTTATTACCTGTATAATATTATAGTTACATTTTCAGCTGCAGTAATTATTTTTAGTTTCCATACTATTATTGAACATTAAAAAGAATACTTCTTTTAAATTATATTTATCATATATGATTTTTATGAAAAATAAATAAAAAATTACCATACATAAAGTATCATAATTTTGACATTTGAGTGCTTAAAAAAAATTCCAATAAAGAAATGTATATTTTTCTACTCTGTTTAGAATCTAATAAGATTTTTCTCCATTTTCATTATCGTTAATGTTAACTAAGGTTAGGTTTGTTGTACATTTTTAATATATATATATATATCACTTATATCTGCACTTAATGTAAATAATTGTTTTTTGTAGTTTAAAAACTGTTTTATTAATTGAAGTTAAGTTAACGATATTTTTAACTTAATTGTTAACTCAATTGAACATAAACTCAATTAAATTAATTTAACTGAGTTAAAAAATATCATTAACTTGCCCAGCCTTAAAAATTACATAAAAAACTATTTAATTATTTTTAATTTTAATTTAATTTTTTATTATTTTATTATAAAATAATAAACGTAATGTAAGAAAACCACTTTGATTTTTCCTAGGTTGAATTAGTTCTTGTTACATTACTCCTATAAAATACATTTATATAAGTTTAATACATTATACGTATATATCACTGAAATTTTATTCTTAAAATTTAAGTGTTATGTTTATTAAAAACAGATGATGGCTATGAAAACTTCTTCGGACAAAATCGACGATACTTTAGAACCACGTGTATTCGGTCGTTACGTTGAACTGTGGAGAAAACTTTCAAATATGACCGGGAGACTGATTGAGACCGGACGTGGTCTGTACGATCTAAATTTTTTCATACAGTCTGTAATCGTCATACAAGCGTTTTACGGAATCGCTGGCTTGTATATAGGACAGCACCAATCGATCCATTACAATATATATTATCCGACCGCAATATGGTCCATTTTGAATTTGATCGTTCTCTGCGAGGCGGCGTATTCAGTCACTTCTCAGGTATAGTGGAGTGGTAAAGGGGGTCTAGAAGAGCGGCAGCTCTTACAAAACTTGAAGTGAGTGTGTACAGGGTCGTTCCGAAGGGGGGTCTTGGTGGGGTGTCTCACCCCCCCAACGAAAACACCAGTCGGCAGTCGGACTTGTTTTATTATAGCCTAGAAGAACCTAATTTTACTTACGGAAAACAAATATTATATATTTCGTAATACAGTGTATACATGAATAAAATTTATATAATTACTTATTATTTAATATAAAATATTATTATTATATATATATATAATTATATATAATTATATTATTATATTATTTTATATTATTATGTATATATATATAATTAAACTGACAATTTTAAGAACGTACGACACTGACACATTAAAAAGTAAAAATACGACTACATATAGTTAATTATATTACATAAATTGAGTAAAAAAATTGTGGTCGGAATTTTTCATATTATTTATCCCCCCCTTTATTTTCATCTTCGGGACGGCCTCGAGTGTGTATTATACTTAAAATATTTTTCATACACAATACATAAAATTAGATACTAGAATTAATGAAATAGGTACTAAAGTACCTATAAGTGATGGGAAAAATCCGGATTAACTGAAATCCGAAAATCAGTATTCACGAAATTCGAAATCTGAAATTCGGATTCGGAGAAAAATCTTGTTTTAGATTTGAAACATTGAATTAGTATTATTTTACATATTAATTCTATTAATTTTTTTGATAGGTAACTAAATATTTTTTTGTAATTAATTAATATAATTAATACATTTATACGATAAAAAATACAACAACAAAATTTATCAACATTGTAATATATACATTTTACGGTCTAAACTCAATTTATGTATGAAATGAGTAACAATATTTATATTAAGTATCAGAATAATTTATCCAAAAATATACAGTAAATAATACTTTAATTTATTTTATATAACTAGCAGTAAAATAAACAGTACAAAATAAATACTCTATTACAAGCTATATATTGTATTGATGCTACTTTTATACAAAATAATAATAAGACACATGATAATTAAAAAGTAGGTATGTTGTGAATACCTTTAAAATCGGTACATTATCAGTGTATCTATATCACAATCACAAATCATTATATAATTTTTGTGTGCTATACTGCTATAATTATTACGTGTTATTCATTTTCTTAACTCTAAAAGCATAATAATTAATAATATGGTAAGAATGTACTTGAATAATTATTACCTAGTATTTTCATAAAACGTATATCATATAATCAAAAACTTGATAAAGTTGGTAATTTTTCAATATCCTTAACAGTTTTCTTAATACAAAAGAAAATATTGTTATATATATTATAAAATGCATAATTTTATGCATAGGTGAAACTACGGGCCATGTTACCAACTATGGCCAACTATAGGTCATGGCCTGACCTAATACTAACTAAAAATATGTATATACTATATATTTTAATAATTATTTAGGCATTATAAATATTATATTTATACATGTAAACGTATACATTTATACGTTTCATATAATATTATAATATACAATTAGTACAAATAAAGATTATAATATAACATAATAAGTCTATTCTATGTATTCGAATAATCGATTTTATTAGTTATTGTTTAATTTAGACATTTGACATTTATTTTTATAATTATATTATAGAAAATAATAGTTAATTTTACGTAATAATACTTTTTACATTTTTCATTTGGCCTGACCTGATAAAAGTGTCGAGTTTCACCTATGATTTTATGTTTATCACTATTATTAATATTGGATCAAGACTACTTTATTCACGTATACGAAGTTGGCCCCTCACTTTGTCCTATCAGTTTCAAACTAATTCCAAATAATTGTAAGATATTTGTAAATAATTGTAAATGCAATTCTGGAATTTGTAAATCCCCAAGAAAGTCACAAAATCAAAATCAAAATGGAGAGGGCCAACTTCACGCAACCCTTCACTTCATATTATCGATTTCAAACTAATTCCAAATAATTGTAAATTAATTGTAAACGTATTTACGTATCTATACATTATTTTTTCGTAATTATACTACCTTTTATTAACAACGGAGACTTTAATGTAACACTTTCTATAAACGCATACTGTATCAGTGCACATTGGACTTGTTATGTTTATTACATATATTTTAAAACAATACAATGTATATTATAACCACTGAGTTATCTCTTAATATAGGTAGGATTTAAAACCATGGTAGCGATACAGTCGATGGCTTGCAGTAAGTTCAGTTTAGAAACTCAAGAGCAGGTAATTTTAAACAGGAATTTAATGATTACTTCGTATCTACAACGTTACAAGCAAATATTACTAATAATACTAATACATCATATATAATTACTATAAATGAATCAATTAGATTTTCATGGCTTTGAAAACAATCCAGTCCGACTCACCCGAAATAACTGTAGGTGGTTATTTTACTTTGGACCGTGTTTACTTAATAACCGTAAGTAAATAACAATATAATATAATTCGAAAAAAACTTGAGGCCATGCCTTGAATACAGTGATTTGTTTACAGTATCTCGGAGTGGCCATATCGTACATAATTGTTCTAGTACAATTTAAAATTGGAACATTGTAATCAACTAACTATCTACATTCTAAAAATTCCATATTTGGTCTGCTGCACGGGTGCATTGTGGATGGCAGACAAACTCAACGCCAAAACTTGTCTCGTTTGAACTGGATCAATAATTCCATCATCCCAACACCTATAGTTATCGACTTTGTTATAATTCATCAAAATCAAAAAATTTGAATCGTAATTGTCCTTGTCACAGTTACATTCTTACCTTGCACTTGAATAAAAAGGATTTCCTTCGTTTTCAAACTGTCTTATCACCGGATCTTTTAACATTTTTTCTTCTTCTTTGGACAACTAAAAAAATTACAACAAACGTGATTAAAAAACCTCACAATTAAAATACTATTATTAAATGTCACCTGTTTTCCTTCTCTAATCTTCTTTTCGCTTTGAATTTGAGCAAGAACTCCTGCTGCTTGTTCACCACCCATTATACTGATTCGAGAATTAGGCCACATATACATAAATCTGGGTCTTTTTATATATTATAAACATAACATAAACATTAAAAAACATTACTATATATAGTCTCTATTTTAATCAAATTTTTCAAATTATTTTTACATGTATACAATTTTAATTCCAATATTATATATTACTTACCCATACGCTCGACCACACATTCCATAATTTCCAGCTCCATAAGAACCACCGATCACAACAGTAATTTTAGGGACAGAGGCACAGGATACAGCTGTTACCATTTTAGCACCATTTTTAGCAATACCACCAGCCTCGGCATCTTTTCCAACCATAAATCCTTATATATAATTGATAATTATTAATTATGGATTTCATATAATAAGAATTTAATTTATACGTTGCCAAGAAAATAACTATACCAGTTATGTTTTGAAAAAATAAAAGCGGAATATTTCGTTGACAACATAATTCAATGAAATGTGTCCCCTACATAACCATTTAAAAGAGTATATTGTTAAATAATCTCGAAGCAAAAGACAATTTAAATATATTATAAAAACTTTTAATTCAAGATAGAATATCAATTTAAATGAGACATATCTAAATATGTGATGTGTATACCTTTAACGCCGACTCAGAAAATAGCACACCATTATTACCAATAATACCGATAGGATAACCACAGATTTTAGCAAATCCAGTTACCAGTGTTTCTCCGTAATTTTTTTTAAACTCAGAAAATACAGATCCATCTACTATTCTTGCAATAACCTAAATGTATTATGGCATCATAAAATAATCCTCAAAATTGAATCAAAGAATAAAAATAGATACCTCTCTGACATCGTAATTTTTTTTTAAATTATCTCCAACAATGCCATATAATTCTTTGGCAGGATATAACGGTAGCTCAGGCTCATCAGTACTACTATTTAAACCTTGTTTGTTATTGTTATTATTCAAATTTTCAATGATGTTTTTAGTTATATGTAATGCGTGGTAATCATCATTGGCGTAATGATCAGAAACTCCAGACACTCTAAATAAAAAAAAAATTTTAACGTGTGAAAACAATTTGGTACATACGAATTTTTAACGGGAAATTAAATAAAATCCAGACAAATAATTAACTTAGGGGAAAAGACCACTATTAAGTTAGTAAGCCACGCATATCTAACGTCTCATCATTTAAAATTATATTGTATTCAACATAAAAATATAAATCTTACGAGCAGTGAAGTTTCGCACCACCTAAATCCTCGGCAGACACAACTTCTCCTGTCGCAGCCTTTACTAACGGAGGACCAGCAAGAAAAATTGTTCCGGTATTTCTCACAATTACACTCTCATCAGCCATGGCAGGTAAGTAAGCAGCGCCTGCCGTACAGCTCCCCATCACTACGGCTATCTGAAACATTGATGTGATTTAAACTCTTTAAGTAAAAATGTATAAATTAGATAATTTTAACTTTCTTACTTGAGTAATATTTTTTGAAGACATAATAGCTTCATTGAAAAATATTCTCCCAAAATGTTCTCTGTCGGGAAAAATTTCTGCCTGTTTTTTCAAATAACCACCGCCAGAGTCGACCAAATAAACGCATGGTAAATTATTCTCACTGGCTATTTCCTGTGCCCTTAAATGTTTTTTTACCGTGATAGGAAAGTAAGAACCTCCTTTCACTGTAGCATCATTCGCAATAATCATACATTCCTTCCTATTAGCAAGCAAAAACAATTATTAAGTCGTTAACTTTTAATTGATAAATGAATGTTTAATAAAAGTTGTACCCAGAAATACGTCCTATACCGGTAATAATTCCACCGCACGGAACAGATTCTTTGTACAAATTATGTCCAGCTAATTGAGATAATTCTAAAAATGGTGAACCCGTATCCAAAAGATAATCTATACGATCACGTACTAGTAATTTTCCTTTGGACGTATGTCTCGACTTATCTTTTGAATCACCGCCAGCAATCGAATTGCTTACGGCTTTTTTTAAATTATACACCAACATTTCCATTGCTGTTAAGTTTTCCTGCATTTAAAAAGTCGAAATCGAAATTAATAATTTCAAATATTTTCAATCAGCACTTCATTTTATATTTAAGAATTTCCATGTAAGTATTACATAAAGTAATATATATATTCTTAATCATTGAATCTTGTTTAATTATTTTTCTTAAATGTTGAATATGATAAATTAAATTTTTTAAAGTTTAAAAATTTAACGCTTGTTAACTCAAATACTATACAGTCACAAATTAAGAAATTCACAACAAATGCATAAATAAATTATTAACCTGATATTCTTTTGAATTGACATCAATGTTTGATTTCAATACGGATACGTTTGAAGCACCCGAGAAGTATATAGAACATTGACAACTTCGGAAAATTATACACCTCCGCAATATTTTAATACTGTTCAACATCTTTATAAAACCACTCTTCCAAAAAGTTTTTATTAAATCTATAACAATTATTAAATTAACACGTAGTATATTTGGTTTATAGTTTTAATAAGTTTATTAAAAATATGTAAGATTTTGTCCCAGCAACACATATTTAACAACTACAACACTACAATTAAGACAAATCAGAACAAACTCTGATGTTGTATTGAGCAAAGTGCATATCATTAGATAAGATTAGTCTTAAGAGTTCAAAAGATTAACACTGTACCCAATATAATTTTAATTATATTATTATAAAATATAGAATATAGAATAATAAGTATGGGTAATATTCAGGCATACACAACTTCCTAACATAAATTGTTTTTAAAATTATAAAATAAATAATCTAACTATTAAAATGCTTAATAGTAAAAAATGGTTGTCAAATTTATTATTATATTTTTATATATAATACGGATTCAGGGTGGGCGTTCCCCCACTTCGCCACCCCTTAATACGCTCCTGACATCAACCGAGGTTAATGGGACATATTCATACCACATATATCAGATGGTGTTAGTTCAATATTATCTAAAGTATTGCCATTTTTATTCATAAATATATCTCTAATAGTTTCGATTGTTTTTAAACCAATGTTATTACCGAAGTACGTAGTTTAATTTATTTTTTATTATACGTTTTGAACGTGTTCCGGGAGAGCGTGGGCTATTAAAATAATATCAACAGAAAGGGAGGTGATGTATTAAATCGTGTGAAAATATCTAAGGGAACACTTTGCCCGATTTCGAGACATAAATTTTGAAAGGGAGCATCACGCGAGCGCGTACGGCAATACGGACTACCGCGTTAAATTTCATAAAAAAAAAAAATAGAATACCTCCCTTTCCGTTGATATTATTTTGAGAGCCTGCGCTCTCCCGGAACACGTTTCCAAAACGTGTTTCGAAAATGTTCGTTTTGGCGGCAATCTATATTGCAGCATGCGCACGCGCGGTGCTCACTTTTAAAATTTTTATCTCGAAATTAGGCAAAGTGTTCCCTTAGATATTTTCACACTATTTGTTTTTCACATAGATTTTGCAGTAAAACTGATTTTCGTTGGACTTATCCACTTATTTTGACTGATTTTTATTTATTTATTTTTTTTCTATCGTTATTGGTATACGGTCCTTTAAAGTTTTTGTTTTTATACGTGTTGTTGTGGCTCCACTGTTACCACAGTAATTATTGTACGCAATTGACAAATTATGGTGCTAGGGTATTTCTACATTTAAAGGTACTTGGGAGACACTGGGCTTTTTATCTATTACTACTGGATTGTTGCTAACGTAACCATCGTTAGGTATTGTTATGTTTTGAATTAAAATAAAATACATTTACATTCTAATTAATTGTCACTTATTGGTTATATACACGTTTTATATAAATTTTTTTTTATGACTAAAAGTTGAAAAATAGTCCTCATGTAAGTACCACCTTATACTTAAAACGTTTATAAAAATAATTTTACTTAAAGTACCTATTATATTACATAAACTATGTTTAAACAAGTTTTCACAATAATCTAATCGCACAGTTTATACTATTCAACTATTTAAAAATTAAAATGCATCCACGACTGATTATTTGTCATTAAATCGTATTGAAAATATAAATTAAGTTTCTGTGTAACTTAATAAATAGTTTAATAAAACTAGTATAAATATTTTCAAAAAAACAATACCTAGTCGAGAATACGGTGGCGGTTTTTTGGTTTTTTTTCTGTGTGGGGTCCCTTAACATTATCTTTTAATATATACAAATAATGTTTAACCCATTAATAATATAAAAAATTACTTTGGTATGTAACTGGTAGCAAAATACAAGAATATTTTGATAAAAAAAAATGTACTTTACTATATTTATTAATTGTCGGCGAAAGATGACCAAAAGTTTTAAAATCGCTGACTGGCCTGATGTGAAAATAATTAATATTAAAAAACATTCAAAATTACATTCACAATACAAAATAATTTACTTTGAATAAAATTAAAATTAACTACATATTATTATGAGTCAAATAATATGGATAAACACTTTGTAAATTAAAAAGCAATCGTAAACATCACAATTTCAGATAAATATAAATACCTAAATAGCAGTAGCAAACATTCAAATAAACAGAATAATAATGATGAAATCATCAGAATTATGTTTAAACATTGATTATAGATTATTCTTTGATCAATGGTATAAGTAACCGTGTATACCCGCATATAAATAGCTACTTAACTACCCGAACGCCATGAACGAAAAATGTATCACAGCCTAAACTTGGGATCTTAGGGGGGGAATCCAGACCCCTTAGACCCCCTCCGTAAAACCGCCACTGCGTGAATATTGAGTTAATAATATCATATATTATCAATATATTAAAAATGCCTTAGGACATTAAATTGAAATTTACTATAGTTTAATTTAATAAAAAAAAGTATAATCATGTTCTCTAGTCCCCGTTTTGGTATTATTATTATAGTATGATATTATATCTCAGAATATATAAATAACTTTTTTAATTGATTATATTCTTTAAATATTTCGTTTTTAAATAAAGTAAAAAGTTAACCCAAATATACCATATTATCGTTGTCGGCAGTACTATTTTTATGTATTTATTCTTGATCATTAAATTTATAATTTATTAGAATTTGTACTTACTGTATTAGTTGTTACCAATATATTTATATAGCAGTATTCTTTTTGTTATCCGTGTGAATAATATCAGCATATTTTTTTCCCAAATTCATTCTTTGATAACGTATGTTGCTTATCAAAGTTATCATTTTTTAAATATTGTCTTGTCAGTTTGATTCTAAAATGTTTAACTTTTCAATTTTCGTATAATGTGCGTGACTAAAATTTCAGTTGAAATAAATAAATACTATCCTGAACTGTAACCCATTGTTGTGAACCTGGTTGAATGTTCCCTGTGGTATTCTTTTTAATAGTACTCATTTAAGTTAGGTTTATATAATAAGAAAGAATTACAAACACTAATACTGAAATGAACATATATATTTTATGTTAAACGGAAAAAAAGTCCCCGGTAAAAAGGTTCTTCGGAAAAAAAATCTCTCGTTACAGTATAAATAAAACGATATTTCCATTATACCTTCTTGTTATTTTATTTATAAAATAAATTGGTTGACAAATCTTATCTGTAAAAAGTACATGACAATTAATTGACATAATCTATAGTTTGACAGTTACACACATTACCATATATAGGTACCTATATATTTATTATAATACATATTTTACATAGCTTTTGTATCTGAATGAATAAATATATTTTTTAAATAATATTATTTATGATGTTTAAGATATTATATTATATGTTATTGTATATTTTATTCTGTTAGTGCATAAAAAACTAAATTTAAATCAAATATTAATTTGGAGACTTTTTTTCCTAATATCATATTTTATTAAGTTTATAACAATAAGATTTTTATAGAGTTATCTACAAATTGGTTATTAGATTCTATACTTGTGAGTCCTAATCAAAGAGTTTTTTATAATGGTTCCCGAGTGTGGTTTTTTACTAAATTATACCAGGATGTGTGTAAGAGTGGTCGATTATGACCTCGATTAGAAATCTCACTCGTTCTTAAGTAGTAGTTTCTAATCGGCACACCACTCATCGTAATTACTTATTGTCGTAGTAATACATAACACGTTTACAACACCTCCCCCACAAAATTAGGGTCTATTCATAAATCCGCCATATCCGAATATAATTTTACATAATCAATAAAAAAAACATAGGTACAAAATTCAAAGCCTAAAATATAAAATATAAAAAAATTTTAAATATAAAACACATATATTTGTTCTTTTTTTTTTTATTATAAAAATATTGTGTTTATAACACATCTCTGCCTCCGAAGAGTTCCAAGGTACTATTACACTGTGCCTCAGAATTTACAATGTCTATTAATTCGTGTTTTTATTATTTTTACTCCTACGTACGTTAAGGTTACAACCATTAGTACTGTGAATAAATACGTATACAAATCTCTTTTAGTCTCCAATGTATTTCTATTACTTTCCTCCTCTATCATTTGGTTTAGTTCATTTGTTGATTTAGAATAATTTCCCATGTCGTTTAATTTTATAATGAGTTTATTGTGAGTTATTACGTATTTTATTTATTTTTTTATAAAATTTGGGATTGTAAGATTTGTTACTAATTCCGTTTCTGGAATAAAATCTATATCGTTGGAAGTGTTTAAATGCTTGTTGAGTATTAGTACCATCAGTAGTGTGTAGGCTCTACATATTTCGACTAATGTCCCTATTCCCGTTAGTTGAGTGTTTATAATTTGGTCCTTATCATTACAAGATATGGCCAGGTTTTCCATAACCTTTATTATAAATATCCATGTATTATGATATACACTTCGTGTTATATCTAAATATCGAATTGAACATGTGGCTGGCATACAAGTTGATTTATGAATAACTCTATTTCACAGGGAACCTCGGTGGTTTCTAGCCTTAGTGGTTGAGTTTCGAGGCACAAAGTTCCCGTTGCCAATTCCTTACATGCTGATATTTGATGAGACGATAGTGTTAAATAATACTAACGGATTTTAGAAATGGTCATGTTCGGGTACTATGTACATAAAATGGTCATTTTTTCTAACAGGTATAACATGATATAATGTTAATTCCATAGAATTTATCAATGGAATTATTATCTCAAATATTATGGTCCCTTTTAATATACTATATTTAATTTGGACATTTTACTTAATTCATAATGCGATATGTAATTTAGATTGAACGGTAATTTTTACTCCCAAGTTAAATTTAAAAATATATCTTTTAACTGCTTACGTAGATCAGTTAGTGAATTACACTTGCATGTATAATTTCCCCTTCAGCGGCCTTTATTATATCACATACCGTATCTGTCTCAAATATTTACTGTTGAAATAATAACGTTAACAATGTTATTTGATTGTTTATATTAGCCATTGCTTCGGCTATATCGTAATCTATTAAGGTTTCACTAACATGGACTGCTAATTGCTCATATATATGGTTTTTAATGTGTTTATTTGTTCCTGCATTTTACCAGCTTCCCTAAAGGTATTTTCAGTTGCCTTTAATATACTAGTTTATTTTTTCATTATTTTGAGTATGTTAGTGTTACTAGTCTGTAGTTCTTCAATTTGTTTATCTTATAATTCTGCATCAGTATTATCCAATGTACTACATAATGTTTTCTGTACGTTTCCTACTATATTAATGAAATCCCTTTTTACCCTTGGATTTATTCCGGAAGAACCTTGTTTCCAATGAAATGAATGAAAATTTAATATTTAAAAGTATAAAAATGTTGATTCAATCAGTACAGCAAGTTTGACTTCATCACAACAATTTATTTTTAGTAGATTTATGGTATTCATATTTTACTAATATGTATGAAATAGTATAAGTTACCATGTAAAAGCCTAATAAATGTACTTGTATTCACAGCAGTGTTGTTTTTATTGCATAGTATTTTTCAATATTTTACTTCAATAAGAACTATTATGAATGAGGAATATGTTTTAATACTTTAAATAAACATACATTTTTTTTTTTTATATTGTTTTGATTTCATTCATCATAATAAATTAGTGTTTTCAGTTAACTTTTCATTTACCATTTCAACTTGAAAAACATTATTTAGTTATAAGAATGAATGATGTTTGTCATGTTGAAATGGTAAATGGAAAGTTTACTGAAAGCATATGTAATAATAATTATTTCTATAGATTTTAAAAATAAAATGTACTTATTAAAATAAATCAAGTATATTTTAATTTATGAATACCATTATTTGCTTTAGTTCTTATTTTGACCTAAATGTAAAATGTACCTCTCGGAGAAAATTATTGTTATTACTTAGGAAATAAAAATATTTTTCCATTACCCATATTTTGTTTGATTTAATTATACATCTCAGCTATGTCAAGAATTATTGGATTTTATATGCAACAGCCCGCATAACTTTGTATCCAACGAAAAAAACCAAATATAATTTTAACATTATTTAAAAATCAATGTATACTATGCACTGACAAAATTCCTGGCAGCGTCTGTGCCCCTGTTTATTTTTTAAATGGTCGTTGAAACCTGAAATAGAAAAAAACCATTGCCTTGCAAATTTGACAGAAAAATATTACGAACTAAACTTAAAACACCATAGTGAATTTTTAATTCGAATTAAAAAAAAAAAATATTGATATCCTCATCATAATGGCATTTTTCAGTTATAAAATTATACAATTATAATTCAATTTAAATGGCATGGGCTAAGACGTCATCATGGAGTCTATAAAAACGTGTTACTGCTAAGAGCCATTTGTGAACAGAGTTGTTGATTCTTGAAACACTGATCAGACTCTTACACTTAGTTTTAGAGAATGGACAAGCTTATGAACAACACATCTCTATAAATCATAATTTTTAAAAACCACGCACATTTCAAAATTTCATATGGCTTTAATCTTTACTTGTAATTGTGAAATTGTCATTTCCAGTACACTAAATATGTGGTTGTGAATTTTATATATTTAATCTACTTTGATACTTAAAGGTCCTAACTCTTACACATAATGCTGGTAATTATAAAATATTTTTGGTAAAGTTGAGTATAAAAAATGCAATATATTCTATAAATGTGTACAATTTTAATAATATAGTTTTTATTCTACTAAATAAAAATTATATTTATTTGTATTTGACATTTGTTTTTAAATATTCATTATTTGCTACTTTTCTTAAATTTCTAATAACTCACCCCATGTGTTAAAAAAAAAAAAAAAAATAAACATCCATTTTAATTTTACATCAATGTATATCTATATAATTTAAATCGCTAAAATATTATAAGTATTCATTATTATTCACGAGTAACATATCAGGTACAATTACATAGGCAGTAACAAGATTTATGTATAATAGTCATTTAATACAACACTAGCCTTCAAGTAAAAAAAAATTCAATTATGAAATTACAGTCTTAAATTATAAAATAAATTATATTAAAATACATACATATTAATTTATTGACTACCAAGAAAAAATTGCAAATATGAAATTTAATTTTAACTATTATTATAATATTCTGTATCTTTATTCAAGACAATTTTGATAACGAACAAATAAGAGGCAATATTTCCATTAAATGAAAATTATAATTATATTTATAATCAACAATTATACTTCGTTGAAAATACATCATTATCATGATACAAAATTACATGGTTCAGCTTTTCATACAATTATAATGAAAATAAATTACACTCAAAATCACAAACAAAATTATTATTATTATTAATCAACCAATTAATACAGAATAAGTTCAAAATGTATAAATATTTTATTGTTTTGTCATTACTATTATAATATATTCTACTATGCTATTAGTAGAATTACCTATGTGTCTTATCTCTGTCTTACAAACTCACTGTAACAGGTTCCTATTTATTATAAGTATATTCCAAAATACATCACATATATTAATATACACATATAGAACAAATAAATTGGCAAATTGACAAATGCTGTAATAGCAAAATTTCATGTAAGTCCTTTAATTGCTTGTCTAACTCTATAAACATTCATTATTTTTAGGAACAATTTCCTATATCAATGCCAAAATGACTTCAAAAGAGTTAAATTCAACACTAAATCTGATAAGCACTAGTGTCGTCCATTAATAGCAAATAGTAAATCACAGTAAAACTAATTTTGTATCATTAGTTTTCATATAAGTAAATTAACCTTCTATTAAACTTACAAGGAAACATTACAATATATAAACACATACTTAATATTGAAATATTGTAGAAAATCAAGACACAGACAATGTTCTACCGATAAATTTAATCTAGGTCAGTTTACTCCATTAAAGTTCACAATTGGGTTTTACTGAACATAGATTTTCTATTTTGTTTGTTGTAAAACGGACAACATATGTGGGTATAACACATCATCTTATCAACTAAATATAGTGATCTTAGCTAGTTTGGGATTTCTTAATAGTTAATAACATATAATACAAGGTTTTTCCACAAATGATTACTATCCATCTTCATTCTTTTAGACAATCACCTGATTTATCTGCTTGGGATACATATTTAATATATTTCTATAATTGTAAACCTTTAAAAATATCATATAAATATGCTATAAGATGTACAAATCATTAACTTGATTAATATTATACATAAAAGCAAAACTTCAACTATTTTGGATTTTAGTAAGTTCAATAGTCTCATAAATCTTTTTCTGCTCATAGCAATTGTGGTCTACAATTAACTTAGTTCAACTGGGGTTCCACCACTGATAATATTCCAAGTGCTGAAGTTGGTCACAACCTTTTCCACAAATTTCACAATCAATTTTTCTTTGATTTATTTGAAATTCAAATAATGCTTTCATATGGGCTTCGGTACGCTTTCCAGTATCTTTTGATAAAATGTAAATATCTTTAGTCAATTCAACTGCTTTCATTTCGTCTACATTAGTTAACTTAGATTGACAGAGTCTATGGGATTCAACATTTTTAGCCATATTAACTGCACATATTCTTTCATGTTCTTCATGCTTTGATACTGATTTAAATTTAGACAGACAAAAATTACATGTCAATTCACAAACAATGTCATAAGAGATTTTAGGATTTGTATCACTTCCATTATTTTTCATTTCAAGTCTCATAAATGATACTTCACTCGAATCAGATGTATCAGTTTTTAAATGTATTTTTTGATGTTCTTTATATTGACTTTTATTTGGAAACCTAGAATTACATAGATTACATATAATTTTATTATCTTTTAATTCTTGTGATATTTCTTTATCTTGATGTCTTAAATTATCATCAGATTGATCATGATCAGTCGTTTTAGTTTTATACCATGTAAATGGTTCTTGCCCTTTTATTAATTGTTCATTAATATCAACGCCGTCATGGTACTTTTTCATATGATATTTGTAACTAGGTATAGAGCTGTAAGTCCTACAACAAATTATGCAATATTTCTTAGTAGCTTTTCTTTTCTTACGTTTTATTTTTTGTTTTGGAGCATTATTTTGAGTTTTTTCAATAATAATACCATGCACTGCTGTATAATGTACATTTAAATGATATAATCTCTTATATGATTTATTGCATTTATCACAATTATGCAAACAATTATTTTTTGTTGATGTTCGATTCATTATTACTTGGTACAATATTTACGTCTTGACTAATGTAAACCTAAAAAAAAAAAAAAAAGGTTAATTAGGTAAATTTTTCTTATTGTTACTAACAAAAAATTTTAATAATTGTAATATAATAAATTTTTAAAAAAAAATGTAATATCTAACATAGAACTGTATTATATTTAAAAATATATTTTTGATGGAAAAATTACTCAATAATCTCAGTAGTCTAGCAATAAAGAACATACTTAGGAAATACAAAAATTAATTGTAGTTTTAATATCAAATAGATAATTATAAAGTTCAACATTATAGACATGGTTAAAAATATTAATTAATATATACCTAATAAATTAATTTTCTATAAATTTTGGTTGAATAATGCCATTTTCTTCTTTTAAAAACTTCAATACATGCTATTATGAGCAGAATAATTAAAATACATCAGGGACAGGTCAAGCTTGTTTAATGGGAGGAAATAGGAATATTATTACTATTATATTTTTATCACTTTATACCTATATCAAAAATATTAAATGAATCCATGTTATAAAAAAAAGCTCAATGGGGAAAGGGACAATCACCATGTTGTCATCCTCCATAAATTTGTCCCTGGCATATAAAAATATATCCATTCAATCAAAAGTTATAAAAATGTAAATATACTACAAAGTATTATAATTAAGTTTATTAAACAATAATATCATGAGAATATTCAAGTATTAAGTCTGCACATTTTTTAGCATTTTTTATTGCCCTCTCTTATGTCAGTATATGTCAAACAGTGACTACTCTCCCTCTTTTATATTACATTAACATTTTTTATAAAACCCACTAAATTCTTTTATTTTAAAAATTAAATTGTTTAATGTCATATATAAATAATAATAAATAATTCAATCATATATTTATACTTTTTTAATTAACAATTATTAAACAAATATTTTTAACAATATGTTTAAGTATAACATACTCAAATTAAACAGTATTGTTTTTTTTTTTTTAAAAACCTAAAAATTAATTATTTAAATAAAATAATAATAAGATACATCAGTGAATATATTTTTAGTTGTACATATTCGTAGATAAGCATGCCTACAATTTTTCAAAAGAAATACCAAAAATGTACATCCCACAATTAATAATATTCAGACAACGTAAAAAAAAAAATCCTATTAACAGTTTATAAAGTCAGTTAGTTTAGTTTAAAAGAATAAAAAAAAAAAAAAAGGAAAGGTCTCAACCGAGATGCCAAAGACTGTTCAATACATATAATTTTATTTAATACAAAATATTATTGAAACAATTACTACGTTTATATGATAGCGTTAAAACGGTTTGAAATTAAACCGTTTTAAAAGTTAAAACGCTCGCGCTATGTAGTTTAAGAATTTAAAACCGTTTTATATGCTCAAACCGGATTATTAAATGTACATATAAACGCGGGATATGTTTTGCATTAATACGTTTATCACAATTATTGTGATTCATGTTATCAGTTATCACTTATCAGATTTTGTTTTTATATATTTATTATTTAATTATATTAATTTTTATATATTATTATTTGTATAACTTAATAATTTAATAAGAACACAATAAATGCAAAATTATAAATTTATTATGAAAATATATTATGAATCAATATATTACTTATCAGATATCCTCCTGGAACAAACGACCAAAGTCATAAAGTAAAAATATTAATTTTAAAATGGTTTATAAAATATTAGCTAAACCGATTTAGTATATATTTGTATATAAACATCTAAAATTAGTTTAAGCTAAACTGTTTTAAATAATTTTAAAACGGTTAAATTTTAAACTGTTTTAACGCTATCATATAAATTTAGTAAATGAATATAAGAAAATGCATTTTATTAAAATATCATGAATTGAAAAAAAACTTGGTAATTTCTTAAAGAATAATGTGTATACATATGTTACCGGCAATATGGATAATTCAGGTATTTTGCATAATGCCTAGGCATTACGCTAATTTCAGACCCATTTTAGACAATGTAAATAAAACATATGATTTTCAATATTATTTTACATATAACCTAAGTATTTTATAAAATATAGGCATTAGGCAAAGTACAAAACATTTTATTATATGTTATATTACATTAAGATTCTTATAATTATTATACAATATTACTCATATTACGGACAAAATTTAATTTTATCTTTTATTATATTATTATTATTATATAAATATTTTACTTAAACTACTATTTACTTAATATTACATATTGTAGAAAAGTCACATTTTTAAGTACACAAAATGTTATTTTTAAGGCTAACACACTTTTTATTTTGATACTTGGACTTACAAACACATTTTAAAAATCCTTGGCCAATTCTTAAGAATTGAATTTTTATCAACTCATTATACTCTTCATCAAATAAAAAACTAGTATTAATGGCAACATTATTAAAAAAAAATGTTGTAGTTTGTTATAAAAATTTGACTTCAAAATGAGACACGAAAATGACGATATTGTAATAAAATTATTAGTACGTTCAATATTGTATCTCAGAATTATTAATATAGTAGTAAAAAAGTATTTATCTTTATTACGTTAAATCGTAAACGCATATTAATGATAAACGATAAATAAAGTCGTTGGTAGTTAGCAATGTCTAGTTTTGTTTGTTTTCTTCATATTGCCTAGTCCACCATTGACATAATACCTAGGCAAAGCTCATATTATGTTTATTACTGGATTATCCATATTGCCGGTAACATATAAAAATTTTCTTTTTAATAACAGGTAGATACATTTATCAGTTTTAAAAGTTTAATTAGTATATTATAAAATTCCAATATGATCTAAATAAGTTATACTTTAGGATGAAATTAAAATATTTCAAATTCAATACAATATATGAGTCGCATTTTTATTGACTTTGTACACACCACTCAATTTGAAACCGGTTGAACTTTATAAATATAATACTACTCCAGGCTAAACATTTATTTATTTCTATATTATTTTATCATTAGAATATTGTTACATATGATTAATTTCAATACACTGAATCAGTTACAAATTTGTATATATTGAAAAATTAAACACATTAAGTCATTAATTCGTTCCAACAAAATATATACGAAATTAACAACATTGAGAGTAATGAATATATATCAAGCAATCAGTGGGCCAGTCCAAAGAAATTTGTTCCGCACTATCAAGGTAATACTCAACCGATCAGCGTAATCAAATCCGTCCATCAGAGCATCATTGAGACCTACATGCGACTTAAGCAGATATTTATAGACGCAAAGGAACCCAGACAAAATAAAGGAAACCAAAACAATAGTGCCTAGCCATCGACGGATGGGCGACACAAAAAAAAAAAAAAAGCAGACTAATACTAATACGTACTTTAAGCTGGTACGGCCAATCATCACCAAATGAGTAGCCGAATGCTAGAAAAGAATCGTGCACGGTCCGCTTTTTCCCAAAGGCAGTGCACTCGCAATGGCGGCGGAAAAACGCGTGTAATCGATCAACTCCAAATTCCGCAGCAGGACGTTGGGACGAGGAGTAGTATGGGAGTAAACACTAGAAAAACCAAAACAATAAATGATCAGTGGACGAAAACCGAAACAACCAACCGGTAAGCATAAGTTAGATGTTATAACTCCAGCAATAATACAACGACAAAATTTTTAAACGATACAGTTAGAAAATGAGTTTGGGCGTGCGGATGATTCACCGAGTGCACTCTCATATTCATGTAAACAAAACGAGCATGGAACAAGGAAAATTATAATTTCTCTGTGCCATGATTGAACATGATTCAGCGAAATAGTCACTATCAACAATCATTATCACGCGCTGCAGTGGCGTAACTGGAAAAATACCTAGGGAGGGCAATGTAATAAATTTATTATTACCAAAACCCTGACACCCCTCCCCCTCACCAGTTAAAACATATTTTCATTGTATGTATCTTATACACTATATCTAATTGTTTGATTTTACATAAGTCTTTTAACTCATTTTATGGTTTAGATAAACATAAATTGTAGGTAGCATGTACTAGGTACCAATATTGTTAAATAATACCCATAAGAATTCATTAATAAAAGGTGCTATTTGTACTGTTGGATTATCTGGGGGGGGGGGCAACATTATACCTTTACCTCTGAAAAAATGGTCAAAGGGGGCATTTGCCCCCTTGCCCTCACACAATTATGCCACTGACTCTGGTCATGCACTGGTCTCCTGTCCGAGAGGATGTTGCCATATATTTATTCTGCGGTGTTGGCAGGTTTTTAAGGGTTGTAGAGGCATACTCCAAACACATCGTATAGCTAAAATAAATTTTAAAAATAAAATATTTAATGAACAATGATCATTTATTTTTAATCTTTGCATGTTTCAATCTGTAATATGTTGTTATAAGTTTTTTTTAATGAAATTAACGTTTACATAAAAAAAATTTAAAAATTTAGCAACATTATTTACAGGTGACACTTTCTTCATAAACAATAATGATAATATTCCATACATTCCACATCATGTACATTTTACGTTTAAAAGCAAAAAGTATTCTTAAGTTTGAATATTCAAATATTATACGAATAAAATTATTAATTGTGTTTTAACAATACTTTGAAATGAAATCGATGAAGGTAAAAAGTAAATAGTTAAAATATTTTATTTACATGTAAAATAATAATTTAGAGTATTTGTAAAAAATATTTAGTAATATATTTCGATATTTAATTCTAATTAACTTAAGTAGTTATCCTTCCATACGATGTTGAAGTCAAAAATATAATTTTGCTTTAATTTAAACATTATACCTAAATTGTTTTAATAAATTATATTTCTAAGTTTGAATGAGGTAAATTAGTAAAAATAACGTTATTATTATTATTATTATATATTATAATTGAAAGAACTACTTAGTGCTTACAAATTATGTTTGTTAATTTTTTTTAAATATTTTAGTAATAAATATTATATAGATAATACAATAAGTTTTGATTTCATTTCATGTTAAAATAAGGGATTTTTTAAGTATTATGTTCCATTATTCACAGAGCCGTGTCAAACATTTCAGCGCCCTGGGACAACATTTTTTCTACAGGGCCACTGGGTACAGGTAGCATATTAAGTGCAGATAAGGGCGCCCCCCTTACTTTTAAAATACTACGGCACCCGGGGGCAATTGCCCCCTTTGACCCCCCTTAACGCGTCCCAGATTATTCAGGTTAAAATAATATAGTATTTAGAATAATATCACGTAACTGTTACAACAGTCCGTGGTACACCGGTAATTGTGTACCGTATATAATGATATATTAAGTAATTTTTCAACGTGAAGTACAAAATAACTGTACAATTATGCATTATTGAATATTTTAACCGTTTCAGTACTAAGAACATATCAGATAAAAATGAAGTTATATTATTACTATAGAAACGGCAATAAACAATTGTATTTTAACGTTATAATATCATGCGACTACTATGAGTGTTGTGATTGTGAGTTGTGAGTCATCCAATATACCCTAGTTTAGGGTAACTATAAAAATAAAATAAAAATACGGGAAACTTCAAAAAACGAAATAAATGTGATTTATAACTTTTAAAGGCATATTAGGTCTCTACATGAAAAATTTCATTTTGATATTGATGATGCATTAAAAATTAAGATTACGCATGTATATTATATTTAAAAGTTACATAAAACTAAATACATTGAATAATATAAAATAAACAAATTAAATGTGCGCTATGCAAAAGTTTTGAAATACAAATAAAATATTTATACTTATATGTAATGTAAATAATATGTTAAAATAGGTACGATTTTTCTAACCAAATTTAAAATTTTGATAATTTCTAATTCTATACAAATTTGTTACAAGGTGAAAGGAGCTAGCACATTTAAGACTACTGACTCAGTCTTAATTCAAGCACATGTCATATTTTTAATATAAATTTGTTTTAAGAGATGATGTGCAAACCATTGATCAAAATAAATTATTATAATCGTTAATAATCAGTAATCATTATCATGGTCGGCCGAAGGCACGTGCGACCGTACAGGACGTCAAATTTTTTTTGGAATTTTAGAGGCGGCATCGTTTATAAATAAAAATACGTATTTTTTATCATTAATCAATATATTTGCCTATTCTAAATCCAAAATAATGCATATTTTATTATTTTGACTGGTACTGTGTCATATGTATTATTATTATCTATTATGTATAATTAAAAAAGTACCTATTTATATATAATATAATATGGGATAGCCGCTAGCCTTGTTCGGCGCAATTCACGATTATCTTTACGGTTTCCAGATAAAGTTCTCCAAAAAAGTATGTACAATAATAATTATTGTACATAAACATTTTTTATCAGCGATAAAAATAGTTTGCTTGTGCCGAATGACAACAATACATAGTCTAGACTGTACATATTTTTACTGTACATTTGTACAAACAATTTAAAAGATTTTCTTTTAACTGTTCGCCAGGAAATTGTTAAAGACAACGAATATAGGGTGGGTGATGCACATATTTTTTAATATATCAACACGCCATTTTCTTATTTGGTGAGTGTTTTTCTATTTTAAATAATTGTACAATTTTTATTAATATTAAGTAGATAAATTATTTCAATAAAATTAAAAATTAAAAATATTTCCCGAAGTCCGACTTTAAGGCCGCGCGCACATTGGATACGAATTCGTTTCGTACCAAAAAGGTACAAATACTTGTCGTACGAATTAGGTGTGCACACTGAACACGTTTTGTTCCGTAAAATAGTCAGTGTTTCGGTGATATCGCATTCGTGACATCCTGGCACGCAATTGATAATCCATTTCCCCCGTACGAACACCTCAAACCCAGTCTGCGCGCTCGCATAGTATTTGGTAGGCTGGGATGGTTCGTGCGTGTACGTACAAGTTCACACGAATCAAATTCGTACGAAAACGCATTCAATGTGCGCGCGGCCTAACTTTTGAATGTACGTAACCTACGTGTGAATTCATTGATATTTTATCTAGGCTGTTAACAAAACGAATTCTTGATTTTCAATGTACAAAACTTTAAAATTAATACTTTATTTTTAAAATGCTATGTAATTATTGCATTAATTTGTATCAAGCTCAGTAGCGTATTTATCGGGGAAGAGGGGATGCTGGTTATGGGGGTTTCCCCCGAAAAAAAAAATATTTGAAAACGTCAAATTTTAAACATATCACTTATATAATAATTTTAGTTTGTTTAATCAATAGAGTATTAAAGTACAATGAAAAAAAATATACATATAAAAAAAATATTAATATCATTAATAATTAAATTGTAATTGGATAATAATAATAACAATCGACCGCACGACACTCACACACACATATTCTGCACAAATGTTTACTATAATAGGTAGGTACTATAATTTAAAATTAATTTTTATTTGGTAGTAAAATGTTATAAAAAAAATACATTATTTAATTAACAATAATAAAAAATATTAAAAAATCAGTATGAATTAAACTTGGTTTATACATTATAGGTATATTATATAATCTGTAAACTTTGTATATTGAAGATAATGGGAAATTAAAATACACTATATACAAGGGGTGGCGAACCTTTTTAGGTTCAAGTACCAAATTTTTCCTTTTCAGCTTTTGAAAATCGTTTTCGTGCCCAAAGAAAATTATATTTTCTAAGACTATAAACAAAATTACAGATTTATTACATTATTTTTATTAAATTTAGTCATTCTTAGTGAAAAGTAAGCAGCAATTGTTTCGTTGGTTAAAACCTTTCTTTCCTTCGATTTAATTACATTTTTTATGGCGAATAAGCTTTCACGAACACAGATTGACGAAAAATATAAAAGCATAAGGAATATTGTCATTTTTAAAACATATATGATTTGTTTATTTGAATTTTTTACAACTAACATTTTATAAATAGTAAAATTTATTTTTTGTACAATTTTTCAATTTTGTACACTTTCAATTTTTTGTGCGTGCCATTAAAATTTGGTCAACGTGCCATTTTCGGCATGCGTGCCATAAGTTTGCCACCCTGCTATATACTATTTACTTTAAACCATTGAGTATGTAGAAAATTAAATGGGGGGTCCGGACCCGAACCCCCCTCCCCACTGTGGGAATGCCACAGCAATGAACTGTAAATTATTTTTAAGTTTGTATTGAAGAAAAATTAGTTTCCCCCCCCCCCCCATGATCTCAATTCAAATACGCTCTTGTAATACGATCGTACGTTTAATTTAGTTATTAATTATTATTATTATTATTTAGTATTTAAACAATAAGTTGATAAAGAACATTTTATACTAATTTATAAAATTATTTCATTATTAGGTATGACACCCCTCCCAAATAAGTTTCTAAATACGCCACTGATCAGGCTCAAAGCTTTTTTGGTCTGTGCCAAAGCGTTGTTTTTTTGTTGTTTATTACCAAATATTTTTTTGGCCATTTCATCATTATTATTGTTTTGTAAAAATGTATTATTTTCATACATTGTATTTGGTTGCGCAAATAGATAAAAATGTTAAGGGGAGTTCAAGCCCCTAGCAGTTTTTTTTAAATTAAATGTACATAATTTGATTAGTATTTGTATTTCTATAATTCGGTTTAAAGTGCAGAACATAATTTATACATATTTTAACATACTTACAAATGTTTTCTCAATAAATAAATAAATTTATTTTGTTTCTAATAATAATAATCAGGGTTAGGATGTTGATGACCTTTAAAACAACTTAAAAATTCCCTAAAAAAAGCTAAAATGGCCTAAACACTCTAAAAAATGAATATCAAAAATTACCAA